AGAAGCTTCTAGAAAAAATTACCTAGAAAAATTATATGTTGATATACAAAGAAGACCGTTTATGAATATGGATTAAAATCAAACCTTGAGTTACTTAACCATGCTTTTAGGGATAATCCAAGATACTATAGTTTATTATAGAGTAAAATAGAAGAGCAAACTTACAAGGATTTGATTGAGTAATAACTTTAAGTGATTTGAGTTAATTTTGAATTTTTGAGAGTTTTTCAAAGTTAAAGGTGATTTACATGGTTTAGGTTTTTATATAAAAGAGAGTTTATATTTTTAAGAGTACTATGAGTATTATAGCATATTGATAGATAAACATTTGTAAGCTTGTGCATCTACTTGTCTTTAATTTTTTTAGGAATTTAAATTCAATATAACAATCAAATAAAATATTCTTGAAATCCAACTAGATTAAGGTCTTGGAATTTGGATTTCAAGATTTAATAAAGGTTTTTTTTGATCTTGAGTAATATGCTTATTGGATTGAAGTAAATATTTGTGAGCAAGTTATGAACTTAATTTTCAAAAAAATTATAAATTTTGAATGTAAGTAAACAATGTCATGTAGTGATATGACTATATGGTGAAAAATAAGAAAATATGGAATTTATATAGAAGAGTTTAATAAAAAGATGTAGTAAAAAAATTAAGATAAATAAGAAGAAGGTAGTACAAAATTTAGTCTTAATTTTACTTTTTATAATAAGAAATTCTATTTACTTTGTAGAAGCATAATTACCTCAAATCAAAGTAAATGAGATAAGTAAATAATATAGACATCTTTAGAAAAGAATTAACAATAGATTTAAGCAAAAATTATCTCAAATTACCAAAAATTGATACCTAGTATGAGTGTAAGTTTTCACTCTTCAACCCAAGTTACAAGATGGTCTCAATTAAGAGTTGCTTGTAATTGGTGATATAAAGTGAAGTAAGCAAATAACAAGAACAAAAGAAGAACAACCACAAAGCAATTGAAATAAATGACATGAAGCAATTACAACACCCAAAACTAAGTTACATTCTGTTCACTGTTTTTTTACCTAATAAAAAGTAAAAATGAAGAATAATATATATTTTTAGATATTCAATTTTATTATCTTTCCAATGACATAAGAAACATGTAAATCTGAATTATTATGAGTAAGTTATGAAGTTTTAAAGATATGAAGTAAATAATTGAAAAATGAAGTGAAAATATTTTACCTCAAAGGTAACTTGTTTATAGATCAAGGATTCGAGCCTCTCCAAGGCTCACATGTAGTATATAAGGGTGTCTCACAGGGGCCATGAAGCCTTAGTCTTATCCTCCTAACTACCTTCAAGGTGCTACAACCCATGTGGGACTTGTGTACTTTCTTTCGTACAAGGACTACACTAGCTATTGGTCCTCATATTTTCTACTAGAAGGACCAAAATTTTTACAATTTTGACCTCACCATAGTATTCAAAAATATCCAATTAGCCTAGGAACCTTGTGTGGCCTTCAATTCTTGCTTCATTTCTTTATAAAGGCTCCCAAAGTGGTAAAATTTATTTTTATCAAGATCTTGAAAATTGCTCTAAAAATTCCTAAATAAATCTAAATAAATTCTGAAAAAAATCTATAATATTTCTATAATGCTAATATTTATTTAAGGCTATATTTTCTTATCTTGGAAATTTTTTATAATAATATAAATAAATTTAAATCTACTATAAATCTTATTTTTTTATATCAATAATTAAAATGACATGAGGTTCTTTCTCATGCTTCTTCTAACTACTAATATTTATAGTTTTTATAAGTAATACATATAGATAGAAGACCAATATAAATATTGATCTTAATAAATAATTCTTACTATTCAACAATGAATAAAAATACTAAACCAACGAAGATAATTGCCTCTAAGACTTGCTAAGACTCCATTTCCACCACTGACATTCTAATTTTCTATATCTCTAAGGATTTCTATACTACTTACTATATCTTGTGATTTAAAGCATTCTAAATGCATATTTTTATCCTAAAACAAGAAGTGATTCAATTTGATGACTTACACCTAGAGAGGATCGATTGTAAACCTAAATCAAAATCAGATCTTAAGGCACAAAACTGCACATCTACAGCAATTTTTGGGTTCTTTGGTCAATTAAAAAGTAGAATTGTGTAGCGAATTTATAAAGATATTTTTGAGAGTTAGTTTCATATCATTTGGATTAATATTGAGGTATTGAGGAATTTTCAAAGTTAGTAATGTACTTGGTGGGTTTAGATTTTGAGAAATAAAAACAAGTTTACAAATTTTTGTATTTTGTAAGTTTCATAGTATGTTTATGGATAAAAATTTGAAAATTTGTTGTTGGGATTATTATAAATTTTTATAAAAAAATTGATTTTAATTTAGTGATTAAATTAAAGAATATGAGTTTTTATAGATTATAATCTTAGATAATTGAAATTTAGGATTAGTGAGGCATTTTTTACTTTGGAAATATTTTTCAATTTTATTGAAGAAAAAATTGGTAAAAATAATTTAGATTTAATTATTTATATACAATCTAATTTTTGGAGCAATTAAATGGTTCAAGAAAAAATCTTTATTGAAAGATCAACAATCAAATCAAAGAAGGAAGGTGGCCAACAATTGAGAGGTTTTAGAGGTTTTTTTGCAATTTGTAAGCCTAATTCTTCTCAAATTTTGTATGCTCGTTGATTTCTTATTAATTGAAGTTTAGGTGAAATTTTAGTCAAGGTATATGGTTCAATTAATATTTATTGAATTTTCAAATAGCTATAATAAATAATTAATATTTACTTGGAATTTTTTTAGAGTTATTTAGGATTTGATTAGGATTGATTGAGAATTTATGATTTGATTAGGATTTAGAATTTTTTTGGAATTTTATTAGAGTTGATCTAGGATTTAAGATTTAATTAGGATTTAGAATTTCATTAGAATTTGACCTAAGATTTGATTAAGATTTATTAGGAATTTAATTAAGATTTTAATTAGGATTTAATTTAAATTTGACCTAAGATTTGAATTGATTAGGATTGATCTAAGGTTCATGATTTAATTAGGATTTAGGATTTTTATAGAATTTTATTAGGATTTATTTAAGATTTAAAATTTAATTAAGATTTAGGATTTCATTAAGATTTAGGATCTGACTTAAAAATTGATTAAAGTTCATTAGGACTTTAATTAAGATTTTAATTAGAACTTAATCAAAATTTGATTAGAATTTATTTATGATTTATTTAATATTTATATTTTTCGTATTTAAAGAATTCTTTATTATTTCTTTAAATTTTATATTTATAATATTGTTTTAAGGTTTTATTTTTATATTTATTTAGAATTTCTGTATTATATTTTTTTGAAGTTAATGTATGACTCTTTGTGTTCTTTTGTAAGTCCTTTTAAATTTACTTAGATTGCTTAAAATTTGATTAGGATTATTAAAGATTACTTTAAGTTTATAAGACTCTATTAGACTTTGTATGATTTTGTTGCATTTCTACTTATCTTCTACAGCTAGGTACTTGGTACATTTTCAAGCAAGAATACATGTAATATGACAATGGTTTAATAAAAAATTATTACTATTCAATCAACATCAAGATTAGAAGAAGATGGCTAATATTGAAGCAATTAAGAAGATTTTTCTTCTAATTAATCAATCAGATTTTATTTTTAAAGTAGTGTACTTGTTATTAATTATTAGATTAAAATGTGTGCAAAATTTTAAATAAGATCAAAAAATTAATTAATAGCTGTTGAGGTTTTAAGACTATCCTATGGTTGATTAGGATTGATTAAGATTATTCAAGATTTATTAGGATTTTTTTAGAATTTTTTTAGTATTATTAGAGTTTATTTAGAAATTGATTAAAATTTGGTTATGATATGTTAGAATTTAGTGAGAAATATTTTAGGATTTAATTATAACTTCTTTAGAATATGTTTTTTAAAATTTCTTTAAGATTTCTTTGTAAATTCTTTAAGATTTATTTTTTAGAATTTTTTTAAGATTTCTTTTAATATTCTTTATAATTTATTTGATGTTTTTTAAGAATTATTTCATGATTCTTTTAGAACTTATTTATGATTCTGTAGAATTTAATTAAGATTTGACTATAATTATTAGGATTTAATTAAGAATTATTTAGAGTTTTATTCAGATTGTTAGGTTCTTTGTTTGTTATAAATACAATATTTCTACCACAATTAGATGCTTGGTGCATTCGTTAATTAATTTTTACATAACACAATAGTATCTAAAAATAAGTATACTTAATATATTTTAATAAAAAATATACATATAGTAATATTTTATTTTTACATTATTGATTGATGAGTTTTTAAGAATTCAACAGTATCAAGGTTTTTTTTATCTCTAAGTAACAAAAAAGTTTATAGAAATAAGTTTAATGAATTTTATTTGATATTATAAAAGTTTTGAAATGAAATTCCATTCTACTTTGAAACTTTGTATTAATACTAATATTAATAGTTATTTTTCTAATTTAATTTAAGAAAATAATAAATTGTGCTTTTGAATCTTTTAATTACTAGATTGAAAAAGTGGCAATATTGGATGAAATAGGAACAACCTTTGTACCACCTAGAAAAATCTATAAATTTAAAGAAAATTAAAAATGTTTCTAATTTGATGCTCTACATTGCATGATTTTTTATATTGAATAGTAGAACAGAATAGGCTCTAGAAGTCAAATTTGACTCTAAATTAACCATCAAATAAAAATTAATGTAAAATATTTCACTAATTGAAAATTGGTGAGAGATATCGATGCTTCTCCAAGTGCTTATTGAATTATATTTATAGATTGTTTCTTCAAACTGAACTTCTACAAATGTCTTCAATTTTAATCAATGATCGATACTTTACCTGCAGGCTTAAAGATGGCAGCTGTGATGACAGGTTTGAGAACTAGAAATGCCGTGTGAACATGATAGGCTAAGATGTTAAATTCACAAAGATTTAAGAGTGAATATATCAGCTCAGATAACATGTAGAACTAAAGGGGAATTTAGGAAGAACTAAAAGAGAGTACAAAGAGGTTGACCTATCAAGTTTGAAGCTGTGTCCTTTCATAACACTAACAAATGTGAATATACAACGTAACTCTACATCTAATTGATGCCAAGTTAGCATGTCTTCTGAAACAGTATAATACATGTAACAGACATATGATTTCCTCGACAATTTCAGAGGTTCTTCATATGACTATCAACGCTCCATTCCCATCGGAGTTTCAACACTTCTTGCAACTGAACTTTATTGAGACAAAAAACTCTAGGGATAACTGACACCTGATACAGCAACCAAGCATATAAATCCACAGTTGCGATGGCAGCATCGATCGATGCCCTCATTGCTCCGGTTCCTTCCATGCTGGTCCAAAAATCTGCCATGTCAGGAACAGTTTCATCACTACCACCGTCCCGTACCCCATGTACATACGTATCTAGCAAGCGTTGCAAAGTATATTGTTGCCTCTGTACCATATCCATATAAACCCAACGTGCTAACATCGAAGCTGAACACACCCGTTTGCTTGAAACAAAACAGCATGCTGCACTTTTCGGTCGTCATTGGAGAGACTCGAAGAAGATACACTCCATTTTTGTTCAAGTGTAAGTTTTCTGGGAAGTGCACTGAGCACTTGTTCTATGCTTTCTCTCCATCCAGCAACCCTAGGGTCGTTGTGTCCGCAGAGCAAGGAAGTTAGCAATGTGTGGAGATTTCTCAAACAACTTCTTCTGCCGTTCAAGCTTGATGACCAACTCTTCACGTTTATTGAGCGCTTCCTTCGGATTGTCAGATGCGTTGAGGTCCACCGTTACCTAAACCGTTAGCATTTACTAGTTTTGTGATTCTTGGGTTGTTGACAGCGATCACAAATTAACCAAAACTTGGCACCGTTAAGCTAGTTCGGAACGCGACTTGCGTCCATATTAGAACAGAGGAATGTGTGAGAATGCTCCCGACTTACAGCTTTCAGGAAGGTCGTCACTTCAATACTTCCCACAGGTTTGTCTTTCAAGAGCAAAGGCAAAGTGATAGCTTCGACTTTCTTCAACGACTCCAGCAAAATACTGCAAACCGAGGATATGCGAGAGCCCTTCAGCAAATAAGCAAAATATTATTCGGAAGGCATTGCCTCTTATTCATTGTGTTGCTTCGCAAGATAGCTAAATGCGTCTTGGCAACATCATTCTACAGAAAAGTGCAGCTCATACTACTTTTTGTTATCCTAGGTTGAGGCAACGTTTTCCTTAAGAGGCCAATTGAAGGTGCACAAATGGAAATATTAGATGGGATTTAGATGTGTCCAGCTACAAATACATTCGAACATTAGCCCAAAAGAGGAACAATGTAACTAAAACAATGAGGTGATGCTCGGTTGGGTTTTCAGAGCATCACCACACATATTCAGCACCAGTATTTTTCGCGGTGCTGTTGACCTGCAACTTGTGTGGTGATGCTATCAGGCGCATTGGGATAACGAACACTTACTCGCATTCTCCCGCTAATAAGCGATGATTGAACACCTGGATCTTGATTTTATCATTAGGGTCTGTCTTGTTGATCAAGAAATTGAAAGTTCCTCCTGATCCTTCAAGCCACACAAATTTATCTCCAGTCTCTGTCACAATTTCACCAAGAACGAGATATAGCATCAGGGAGCAATCTCGGGGGAGATATATATGACATTTCCAGTCTCAAAGCGTAATAAAAATGCAATTGTTGCGACCACAGAAACTCAAACTTACTGTGAAGTTTATCACTTTTGAATGTTACGTGCCTGTAGGTAAGATATGCTTGGATATCGGACACCTTGGCTTCGTGTAATAGACAGTTAAATAAACAAGGATTCAGCACGTCAGCTCTGTTGCACGTGTTAGGAATAAAGAAAACGAAGCCTGTAACAATTGTTTGACGGAGGTCTTGAAAATAGGAACCATGCGTGGGAAATAACAGAGAACCTCAATAGGAGTCAAAGACAATGAGAATTACATATCCGAGATGTAGCTCCCTTGAGATATCCTTTCCGAAGCGTCAATATGAGATCCCCGTACTCTCCGGATGCCTGCTCCAGAACGGAATTATCTACTTGTGATAACTACATTGGATAAATATATCAGGTTATTTACGACGAAGAATTGACTGAAAGTTTCCATCAAGAATTCTCTTACCTCACTCCTCTTCATTTGGGTCAGTACCACTAATTGTCCCGACTGCTTCTCTTTTTTCCAACCTAGCACCGGCACCATCACAGGTAAGATCCTCTCCTCTGGAGTGCTCTCCGGTGACATACCAGATACGTCTCGAAATTTAAGTCTGCAAGACCGTGCCGCATAAAGAGCTTTCAGCAATTATTGTTGATTGACCACAAAAGTAGGTAATAGTTGAAAGCTCTTCAAAGCTATGGAGAAGTTGAGGCACAGCTTCATTCCACATGTGCCTCGACTTCTGTCCCGCTGCTTTGATAAAGTGGTATGTGCAATTTAAGTCCCACTTACTTAGCTATCCCAATACTGTCATTGTTCCTGTTGAACAGCTCTAGGGTGACAATGTCATCCTGCTCCGTGAAGTCGAAAGGAAACCAATTGGCTTCCTCGGAAATCGTTGCCCAGATTGGATTCTTTCCCATATCTGGTACCAAATAGAAACAAGTCTTAGTCGTGGTGATGACTTTAAAATGTCGGAGCCCCGTTGAATAAAGTGTGAAATCCAGCAACCTTCAGTTTTAACCGCATCCATTACAAACCCTCCATTCTTATGCAATATACATTAGAGTCTGTACACTAGAAGACTTCATACCTTTTACCGTTTCAGTTGTGTAGAGCGTATTCTTGTAAAACACTTTTACATGGACCCATGTCCGCACCTCTGCGAGATCATATTCAGTTTCCAGAAGGATCAGCCTTTCATGCTAGCCGGTTTGTGAATAGAACAAGCACATGATTCTCTTCACAAAAGACGTGTGAAGAAATACGAATGTATTACCAAAAGGAAACGCTTGATAATTTGAAAGAAACAAGCGAAAGCCGGAAAGTATGATATTTGCTAACTTACGTCGGAAAGTGCACGCGTCGACTGCCAAGGCCCGCATGACCTTCAACTGAAGGTGACTCGTACGCGTCTGGCGAACCGACATTATATCCGCAGGTGCCTTGTTCATTGAGTCGTCTATATTCCTATGGCTTGAATTATTTCCTCCGCTTCCTGTAAACCAAAAAAACGCATGACCTTCGGAATTCCTGTCGCCCAAAGCGTTTCGTGTAACAAAACGGACAAACGAGGGGGCTCGTTTACAGCAACACCTCATGTACAACACCTCAGCAACACCTCAATACAGGGCAAGAGGTGACTACGAGTCCGACAAAACTTCACTCACGTTCCCAAGTTTTAAGAATTCCTCACCCCATGTCATCATTTTCCTCCGTTGTTCGACAAAAATGATAGTCGAAAATCCGTCTCTGGCTGAGAATCAGAAGAGCCTCGACACCAGAGACCAGAGATCTTTACACCAATCCTGTTCCGCTGCACCAACCTGATGAAGCAGTGGGAGCCAGATTGCCCTGGTCTAAAACATCCCTTGTGTAGAATGCAAGTGATAATCCACTGCAAGATCGTCGGTAGCAGTTAACTGTTCCGAATTCGCATGGAAGAAAGTTTCTAAGTAGGTGCTTTTTTAAGATCACTGAAACCTCGGATTTGAAAAAACAGGGAAATTGCGTGAGATGATGACTAGGATTTAGATGACCTTCGCCCACAATTAGATAAGCATTAGGGGAGCGTTTTTCCAAATTCCAGACTCTAGTCCTTCAATATTGTTTCTAAATCCGTGTTAGCATTGAGAAGAAAAGCTCAACGTTGAGAATGGAATCAGGAATCTTCTGTAGTTCAGCTCGTTTCACCGGGACCATCATTGACTATTATAAGTAAATAATAAAAAGAAAATTGTCTGTGCAATAGCACTCTACAAGTTAGGCTTCCCTGTACCAGCAACGACTGGGCCGTTTTTTTTAGGCCATAAGGACGCATAATATCCGGGAGATCCCACCACCAGTTACTGTCACTGATCCGCATCCGTGAAGAAGAACCGCCTTTTTTTGTGGCTGATCTCTGTGAATACGTGCAATACATTATTCAATAGCATCGAGAACAACACGACTCTCTGCAGGTAATCTTCGGCGGGACTCGAAACTCAGGAAGATGCTATTCCAAGCATGCACGCATCTCAAGGTTTCATTCGACAGAGTCGTGCCTGTGATTCCGAGTACAAAAGCATTTACTAACAATAGTCGGCAGATCCTTCCTAGCAATGCATTGCTGTCTGCCGGTGCTCGTTTCAGAGAAAGATCTGGAAGTCGCCTCTTTAATCCACCTCAATCCACCCCAACTTGCGAATCGTCAACCTTGGTCCATGTAAGACGATCACACCGACGCCTTGCACTTGATATCATGTAGAGGGGCTCTTAGTTTTGCCTAAACTTCTCCTGCACCTGCGATGCTTCTCACGGATTATGATAGATGATTGTTTATACACACCACTTCTGATTGTTTAAATCCATCAGAGGAGCTTGGTTTCTGATCAAAAGTATTGAAGCTGCATGCTCTAATCGTCCGCTCGCACTCAGGTCTAGAAACAATGCCACAGTGTAGACCAACGGTCCGCTTGCTTATAGGGGATCTCACGGCGTCGGTGACCGAACAGCGAGAATGATTTCCTACACGTAGCACTGTCGAGCCCCTGATGACCGTGTGTTGCTTACTTTCGATTTTCATATAAAATCTTACTAAATTTGTTGTATATGTAAATAGGAAGAACAAAGTTATAGTTAAATTAAATTAAAATAAGTTCTTTTTGTGCATGTAAAGATATATATCTTATATAAAACACAAATCAAGGAGGATAAACCAATAGGATAAATTGGGGATACAAATTGGCTTGTTGATTGACTAGATTTTATATGTATATGTATGTATATATATATATATATATATAGGGAGGGTGTTATTAATGTCACCACAATATTTTCTATTGCTATTACAATTTGTCATTCATCACATGTCATGACAATTTGTGCTACTTTCACCACAAGTTGTACACAATACTTTTGTTTATGAAATATTGTTATTGCACACTATAATGGATAAAGTGAAAATCCTTTATAGATTTGTATTTTAGTGTTTCATAAAATATATTGTGCTTTACAACACAAATTTAAGGCACCTTGTGGTGTCATTAGCAATATCCTCTAGATATTCATATATATATATATATATATATATATCAATACATACATAAATTTAAAATTTCTAGTAAGAATAATATTGCAGTTTAAAATGTGTAATATTTATACTTTAAAAGATTTATTCTATTTTTATTTTTCATGTCAAAACATCTATATTCTTAATAAATTATTATTAAATTATTAAATACTATTATTTAATAATTATATGATTAGTCAAGAAATATAAATTTAATGGAAAAAATCATATTATTTACAATCAATATTTTTTAACATTCTAATGCTTTTTTTTTCTTAATTTTGTTTGATATTTTTATTATTTTTAAAGAAATTAATAAAATATTTGTACCTTATATTTATTTCGGATGTAACAAATTTTAAGAAGATAAAGAAAATACAATAACATAATAATATTATTATTATTTTTAAACTTAATATTATTATTATTATTATTATTATTATGACAAACTGATCACAACTTTTTATACATTTAGTTAACAAAAAGAATAAGAAGAAATGTAAACCAAAAGAAAAATCTTTTTTTTGATGTTTTTTACAAAATCAGCTTCTAAAAACCAATCATTTGTATGCTAAAAGATTATTTAACACAATGGATTATATTATCATACAAACACATCACAAGCACAATAATATAAATATAATTTTAAAAAAAAAAACATACAAAGTCTACCATAATAAGATCCAAAAGAAATCTTGAAATTAAAAGGAAATGTCAAAAGGTAAATTGTTAAGAGGTGATATAAAATACTTCTTCATATCATCACATGCATATAATCAAAAGTCTATTTTCAAAATAATAATAATAATGAACTTTAAAATTCTAAAATAAAATTTTAAATCTAAATTTTAAAATTAACACTCAATCCAGATTTATAATATTTTTTATTCACAAATGTAAAATTTTAGTATATTATAGTCTTGTCATAATGTTTTTTAGATTGTATTAGTCTTGTGATTTTTTTCTTTTTGTTATAATTCTAATTTTAAATTAATAAATTTGTATAATAAATTTTATCTTTATTTTTTTATCTAATTAGATTTTTTATTTTTTGATTTTTTCTTAAGAAAGATAAAATATGTTTATATACTGTTATTAAATAAATAAATATAGAATAAAGAACCTTAAATCCTACATCCAGTTGCAAGGTGAATTCAAGAGCCAATAGATATAATGTAATATATTAAATATGCTTTTTTACACCAATCATTTGTATTTAGTGAAATTAGACAAATTAGTTGATATATGTGTTTGTTACTTTATATTTCTTTATCATAAGATGATAAAAATAATTATTATTATTATTACTTGCAAGCAATGATTTTAGATAGATCTATGTCATTCTTAGTCTTTTCAATTTTAGACCTATTTTAGTTGCAAAATTAGCTTTTTGTCACAAAAAAGAACTTTTCATAGCTTTAAAGGTCTTAAACTAGTCATTATCTTGGTCAGTAAAGATTCAGCCTACTTTCAATTTTTATGCACTTGTGTATACTTCCAAAACATATGTTGTTAAAATTTAAGAATATATAGTATAAATATCATAAGATATTGTAATATTCTTATATTAACTTGTGTCATCTATTGAATTATAGATGTTTTATATTGCCAAATCAATCACATGAGTATTACTACTTTTTTAGCATTTGATTTGAATTAAAGATTCTTCTAATCAAAATTAAAGTTAGAATCTCATTTATTTTTAACATTAGTCAATGTTAATTACTATTGTAACTAAGATTAATTGAATTTTTTTTGAATTTAATTATATTATGATCAAATTAAGTATTAAGCTCCATCAATACCTTTTTAAATCAAATTAAAAACTACATTAATAACATAAAATCTTTTGAAGTATTTTTTTATTACTATGATTTGTCTTTGCACTATATACAGCTCAAAAACATTATAAATCTTACAATATTATTATTATTATGTAATCTTTTTACTTTAAAACTTTTGATTCTAACACTTAGAAAGATTTTTTTATCAATGTATAATATTTTAATTAGACTTCTAATTAGTAGTCAGTTACATAACATAGTATAGACATAAAGAAGCCATGTCTTTTTTTAATCTCCAGAATTTTATTATAGAATTAAAACACCATAGAAAATCACTCCCAAAAAATAAATTATATCAGTAAATTTAATTTTTGATAATTAAAGGTTGTATTTCTATCATTTAGCATATTTTTTTAATATATAATATATATTAGTAACACAAAGTCATTAAAGGATGATGGAACGACTTAAAAGAGTAAAACAATAAATCCAATTTAATTGAATTAATTAAGATACAAAAAAACCTATATATAAAAAGATATGATATCCAAATATGTTAAGATTTACCTAAGATTCTAAGTATTTATTGCTCCTAGTTGAAGTTCTAAAGTGAATTAGAGGAAAGATTTCTACAAGTAATGGAAATTAAGTAACAATAAGAATTGTAAGTTATCCAAGAAATGGCAATAAATACAAACTTAGCATTTATCAAGGTAAAATGAAGAATAAATTTAGAATGACTTTGTAAAAAATTAAATAATGATTATAATCTAATAAAAGATATTAAAGTATATATTTTTTTTGCTACTTAACAATAAAATATTAATAATTTATAATTATAGCCAAATTATGTGATTTCTAAAAAATAATTTAAATTCTTTCTTTAATTTTTTAATATATATATATATATATATATATATATATATATAATATGTTAAAAATTCCTTTAATTTAATATTTTCTATCTTTAATAGCTCTTATAATTCTTTGAAGTATTATAAATATGCTAATTATATAGAATCTTATATCTAATTTTAATAGTATATTACAAATATTATAAAAAATTATATAAAAAAATTATAATTAGGAAAAAAAATATTCTAATCTAGTAATATTCAATTCGAATTTTCATCATTTATACTAAAGAATATCCAAGAAAAATTAAACTAGTATTTTTTGTTCTATATAATTTAACAATCATAAACCTATATTTGATTAGGTATTGGAAACATAATTTGTCAATGTATGTTGATCTAATCATCTATTTTTATAATATTTATGTCATGGCTATTTTATTATCTATTAATTGTAGATATTTTATTAATTTTAATTTTATCATATTTTTTAAGCTACTAAAGAAATTTATTTTAAAATAATACTTGTCAAAAACATAAATATATATATATATATATATATATATACTTCTTTTATTAATCATATCAACAAACAATAATTTTCAAATAGAATTTATTTAGATATCCACAACATCTTTTTAATCATTTAAAATACAACTAAAATATTTTTCAAAGTTCTTAATTTAATCAAAAAACTTAGTTGTTATTCTTTTATTTTTTATTCTAGCTTTAAATGAATATTAATTCATTCTCTATAATGACTTTTATAGTATCATATTAGAATATACTAATATTTGGTGTCTACCTATATCTTCAATCCATGGCATTTCTTCAAATCCTACATGTATAATATATTAGTAATTTCTCATATTTACTCATCAACCATGTTTATGATTATAATAAAAGTCTACAAACATCATATATATTAAACATCAAATGTAAGAAATTAAAAAAATAAAAATAAAAATAGATTTTTTTATGCATCAATACTTTTTGTATTATTTCAACAAATTAACTAGCTAACATGATATAATTATAATTAAAAACTGAAAACATTCTCTTATTCTTTAATTTCTTGTTATACTAATCTAAATCATTTCATCCATGAAAAAATTGAATACAACATTTAAGAACCTTTAAAGCATTATTATATCCTAAAATAATTACATGACGATAATTTTATAAAACAAAATAGTACTTATAGCCACTATTTGTCAAAATAAAACCTACACATTTTAAAAAACTAACAAAAATCATCGACATGGCCAAAGCAAAAAAAAAAAAAGATAGTTCTCATAGAACCACCCTAAAATTAAATAGTAAATAAAAATAAGAATAATAACAAACAACCAATTTTTAGTCTATGTGTTATAAATAAATTGTTTAAAGCAAAAAAAACTTACATTCTTCAACCAATGTGTGTTGGAGCACTAAGTTTAGATAATTTCTAATGAGGGTTTTGAATGACTGCTTTGTTTAAAACAATTGGCTCGATTTATTGGTTACTTCCATGCAGAAGAGACTCACTTTTTGATTAACTTCAGATTGAATATTGTGTGATGTAGATATGAGATTGCCAGCACTTTGCACTATGCAACATGCTTTAACTTTTTATTCTCGTGAGTTTTTCAGAAAACATAATTATGTCCATTATTGCAGAGCAAGTTTTCATCTAGTTTGTTTGTTGTGGAGAAACTCACCTGTTGCAATGCAGGGAATCAGTAGTTTCACTCGTTCCATCTCTATGCGGTCTCGTAGCTCACCAACTTCGTAACAAAAATCACAGGATTCCGCCAGTTTGGTTGTGGAAGAATAGGGCCCACTCGTTGAATCTTTTAGTGAAAATAGCAAACATCCGCTGCTTTTCTAAGAACTTTCTTGAGTCGCATCATGTCCTCCGTGATCCAACATATTCATTCCATTTCGATCCATTGTTGCCTACAAGCATCTTACGTTAGACAGGAGGCTCAAGAATGCTTGATATACCTGCAATTCCTAGACTCTATCACATTTGTTGTTACATAAGATGCAAGCAAAATAAAGTCTGAGGTTGACTAGAACGTGTACAATGTAAGCTTGCTACATTATACGTGTCTACATATTGACTAGGATGTTGAACCTTCAAGATCACAAGATCATGATATAGTAAACTGATCCCAATTTCATTCGCTCCATGTAGAGGGAAGTACATACGATACAAAATTACATGCCATGTATCACGCTCATTGAACAGAAGACGTAGTATTACTCTTCTCTTACGAAACGATCTTTTTGTTAAGAGTAGAATGTCATACTAATCAAAATTGAATGTAAGCAAGGGAGACTTGCAGTTCACATCGTTCACTATTAACACAGAATGAGTTCTGCAGCCGCTCCCATTGCAGACGGCCCTCCTCTTTCTAGTAACGCAACGGCTAAGTCATGCTCATGCCAAAATCTCAAACCTGTTGCCAGCTTCTGTAACGTGTCTAGCTTGAGCTCCAATATCCACATTGGTGTGCAGGTAACCATGAGCGCCAGGAACCCAACAACATATGATCTCCACAGAGTTTGTTCGCAGCTTATGAAAATCTCGCCACCCAATCCTGAAGCTAGAAAGTCCATGTGCGCTCCTAACACGTAATGTCGCTGTATTTGGGAAGGGATCCCTGTATTCTCAGCTTGCAAGTGCACTGCGCTGGAGCCAGACACACCCCAGGCAAGAGCTCCTGACAAGAGAACAAAATGTGCTATGGCGTAACCCTCTAGAATCAAGCCACCCGTGGAGTGGATACCTTTAGAACCTTTCCCAGACAAGAACCAAGTTGGGATGCTGTCAGTGAAGAGCTTGGCTACCAGTATAGCTCCGCCTGATACATATAGTAAAGAAGCTCCTAAAGATGATGCTTGAACCGCTCTTGCCATAGAATTGGGCAATGAAGCTTGAACGCACCGCAAACGTGACCCAAGCCCGACTAACGATTCTTTGTTGAAGTCACCTTGAGTACCCAGTTCTCGGGCTGCTTCAGCTACCAGAATGAGAATTTCGTCGCTCAAAAACATAATATCATGGAAAAAGACGTAGGATCGGAGGTAAACAATTCCTGGAGCGACAGGTTCGGGACCATACGCAGACCAGGAACCGAGAAGCGCGCCTACGCCACCGTTCATCTGCAGCTTGGATCCGAGGGAGGGTGAAGAGGAAAGAGTGACGGCGAAGCAGCTCTTAAGCAACTGCAACATTGCAGGTTTGTTGTGCTTGAACACGGAGCAGGAGCTAATAAAGACAATATAGTCATGCCACCTCCTCACTTTTTGAGCCCAGAGAGCCGCAACCACTTGCATGCTGAACCAAGGTCCAGCCCCAGAACAGCTCTCAAGGCCAGGACCTGCAACGCTTAGCAACGTGTCTCCAGCTCTGTCTAACTTGAAAGTAATGGTCAAGCCTATAAGAGCAGCTAGCGGCAATGGCAAAGACACCGGTGCATTTCCTCCCCCAGAACCTGTCACACAAAATTCAGATTGAGTAGAGATAATTTATTAAGTGCGGAGGAAGCTTCGCAGTAACAACTGTACAAAAGTTCACTTGAATAGAAGCTCGAAGTAGGACTGCTGCCCATTAGTTTACCACCATTGGATTACCTGTTGGATTTGGAATGTGAACACCAACAGCAGCTAAAATGTCCTTCACCTCTCCCTGAATAGTGAGTAGATTGGCAGCAGGACTAGGCCAGTCCTGTCCGTTCATAGACGCATATTTCCATAAACCCCTAGTAGTCTCCGCTGAGCAATAGCTCACTATGGTTGCAATAGCGCCGGGAAGATAATCTACCAGCTCTCGAAGCCCTGCGAGCAACCAAATACCTGTATCTCAACCAATTCCGGATACAAACATACGCCAGTAGGACCAGCACTCACAAGATTACTGTAGGCACGTTGCGAAGATATAAGCAATAGACGTACCAGTGGTTAAATCACGAGGAGACAGACTGCCATGGGCACAAGCTGTCAGCGAATACTCCAAAACATTTGGAACAGCAGCAATTATGTCCCAGGCACACAAAATTGGCCTGCCAGAGACGTCCTCACTTGGACTTCCAGATATCCCTGGTGTAGGACCAGGGCTACTCTTGTTAACCTTCTTGAACATCATAGCAAGTAAACGATCTCCCACTTGATGCATGGGGTTGTTGCGAAGTAAGCCCGAGACAGTAGCAGATATGCACGCTTGATGCTGCATGTACCAAATCTGCAGCCGTGGGAAAGAATCCAATGATACTACACTGCCTGAAGATGGAGTGTACGTGGATCCAAGCACTTGCATACGCTGCTTGCCAAACCTGTCTGAAGGAGAAGCCAATTGCATGTTACGCAGCTGAAGCAGATACTCAAGGCTCAAGTCTGCACCAAGGCTAGCCCCACTACCTAGCAGACAGTGCTCCAGAGGTGGTCGATGAAACTTCCACAGCTTGACAAGCTGTAGAAAAGCTACAGAGAATAGCATATGAGCTGTAACATCCTCTCCCGCAACAGTTGCAACGGGTTTTGAATTTGAGAGTGACCCGAACACTTCGCAAATAGGGAGAAGTGATGCCGCCAATTCTGGAAACTGTACTTATCAAAGTCAATTTACCTTATACCACGATAAGATACTAAGTTTATGCGAAATAACAGATCTAATTAAACCTTAGTCCCAACAAGAAGGAAACAAAGGGAAGAAATAAAAGTATGTCCGCAAGGAAGTCAACCACTTGAAAATAACAGGTACAACGCACAAGATTATGGGAGATTTTCAGTAGTACCATGCCAAATAAGGAGAGGACGTTCATCGCATCAGCAGTGTTCATGCCTTGAAGTGCAGCATACAGCATAGGGGCATGCCCAATCAATGGGTTACTGTTTCCACCCCAGTTTTCGGCAACCGGCGGGGATAATAGTTGCACTGCAAAGTGCACTGCATATTCCTGTCATTCCTACACCTCTGTTACAAAAATGATCGTAGCATCTCAAGAAATTTCAGACAATCTCCATGAACCTCGCCACTGCTAAGATGCTCAACAAGTGTATAAATTGTGGGTACTTGATAGGGTATCACACAATAATTAATAACAAACGGACCTGCACATTCCAGCTGCGAATGAGAGAGGCTCCGCAGAGGATGCTAGCTGCTGCTGCTCTTTCTTCTTCAGGACCAACAATGGCTGTTTTGTAGACCTTTTCCAACTCTGCAACGCTTACAGACATAACAAATGATCGTCAGCAGAAGATTATGCATGGTACTTCCAATGTAACAAACTAACTCCCGTGCTATTCATAAACAAAAGCCCAAGTTTAAAACAACGGTTCAAAACACCCATTTTCTAGCATACCTTCCAGCAGGACACGACATCAACGCAACTCGCAGGGAGCCTGAGAAAGGAGCTCCATCCATGAATACGGACCAAGGAGACGGTTGGGAAGGGGAAGAAGGAATATTTGCAAGCTGCCCTCCAGTTACAAGCCAGAAGTAAGCCGAGTTGTCTAGCAAACCTCTGGATACACAGGAATCCACAATCAAGTGCCGCATAGTCCCAACTGGTGCAACACGTTCAGACAACGCATTCTTGGTGAGACAGTAACAGTTTGGTGTTATATTCCGTCAACGTAGTGGAAAAAAGTAGTAAAAAAGGGAAAATCATGTCTTTCAACGTCTCTTAAAGAATTATTTATTTTTTACTAGCCTGCATTATAGTCAAGGTGCACAAAAACATCACTATACGTGTTAAGTAATCACGTCATAATGAACAACGTCCCTCACGAACACTCTTACAAGACACTTACAACCAATCCTGTCGCACCAAAATAAACAGGCAATACGTTATGAAGAAAAGCACACATAAGAACATAATTTTAAGATTGCATCTAAGAAGTCACGAACATTTCAAAAGAAATAGCACTTGAACTACCTCAGAAACACAAACCTGCAGATTTACCAGAATTGCTGATCTCCACATTCATTTTTTGTCCCCCAGTGCTCACAAAAGCAGCCACCTTCGCAGCCACCTGATTTGCTGCAGTAACTGCAGCAGTTGGAGGAACCAAAAGAGACTCAAACTGACCAAGAACTTGCAGGCAAGTTTCCAGAGCAGCACGCCGACCTCCTGGAATTTTCCTATCCTTGTCATCTCCAGAAATATTTTCAGGGTGTGGTTGGCCTCTCTCTTCTTCTTCGATCACAATGCCTGCTGCTAGTGGCAAAATAGAAAGCAGCATGCACAAGCGGGACTCTACATGTGTGTTTGGACCTTCCATAGATTCACGATCCTACAAAAAAGCAAATGAGATCAAGTCAACAAAAATTTGACGTTCGCAATTTACGGTTTACCAATAGCCTCACCTAATAATTTACTAAAGTGGCAGTACTGTGCATGAACCAGCAAAACACAACAGAATAAAACGAGACTATCTCATAGCTTAAGTGCATGTGATTTGAAACACCGAGAGAAAAAATACTTGACTGGAACAGTATTTCAAATCGCCCACTCTATCAAGTATTACGTATGATAGCATACCCGTTTCACTAATCGCAAACCTGCTGTCCAAAGACCCAGAAATAAATCCACCCAGTTCGCAGCGTGTACCGACTGCATAGCCTTCATAACATCTGCACTAAGTTAAGCATGTCAATCTCACGCTCGTAATGAAATCAAGGATCGCATGCAGTTGCACTAATCACTAAGACTGTAAACGTTAAGAGAACTAACCAGCGAGGATCTCCGCATTGGAACGTTGGGACAGGCGACGTCCTTCCATGGCAGCTTCCATGTAGATATCGAACGGGAGCCAAGGTGAACTGTAGCCCAGCCCACCTGTCATAAATGTTAAAAAGGTGAGACTTACAACACCCAGCAAATAAGCAGAAATAAGTACCTGAACGATCCAAAAGAATAGATGGAAGAAACTCTACCTGCATTACCGAAGGACGATGAACGACAACTCGACGGCAGCAACGCGTGAATGACCGGCATCTGTGACGAGCGCCATTCTTGATGAAGACCTTGCTGTATAGCATTGGCTAACTGTCCTAAGGCATCCATAGCCTCCTTTGGTGCCTTGGACGAAGGATCATTGGTCAGCGATTCCAAGAGCTGCAACCTTTGCACAAACAGAGTCCACTGATCCTGTCTGCTCCACCAGGCAAATATGTTATTTATTTGCAAAACACCTGCTGAAAACGACTGAACTCAATTAAATACCAAATTCCAAACTTAAGATGACACGGCATCAAGCTTCTGTTACTGACAAGTTCCGGCGAGCGATACGAAGGAGGTCAGCAGTCCGTTTGTTCTGTATGATCTTCGCCATGAGGTGAACTGCCGCCAAGCTATTAGTTTTTTTCAGCTGTTCTAAACCCATTTCATGCTTCTCTTCGTGCCCGGCAGTCCCTGACTCCATCGTTCGACCGTGAATAGATCCTTCGTTTGATTTCCAATCCTCGTACACTGACTCGGCCAGCCGCGCCATCAGGGCGAAAAGAAAATGCACAATAACAATTCCGACCTCCGTAATGGGTGTGTCGGGCGAATTTGACAATTGTAGGGCCTCGTCCACGGCCTTCACGACCCTGAACCGAATAATGCCAATTAGAACGCTTCATTCCGAGATTAAGATACCACACGGAGTCACTATCGCGTAGGAGAATTAGATCACCTGTCTCGGCAAAGCATGAGCTTGGTAGACGACAGAGAAAACACGAAGGTGCTAGTCAGCTCCAAGTACATCCTGTAATTTTCAGGTTGCTGGTGTCGACTAGGTAAGATTCTGAATGAGACGATACAAATGCTCCCAACAAAATCAGTACAGCAGAAGTATTAAGTCACAAATAAGCCGCCGTCCTTCGAATTGTCGAAGGCAGCTACTGTCCCTTCAACAATAAATAAATAACTAAATAAATAATGTTACTACAGACGGAATGTCTCACAAAAGTTAAGAAAAATAATGGAACAGATGCGAAACATACCTGCTTGTAAGAAGAGCAAGCATATGAAGAACAGACACCATTTGGCATGACATGGCGTGCTGAATATAGGTCCATATAGTAGCGGTGCTCGATGCATAGGAGGCATTGGTAACGAGGCAGTGCACCAGAACGGAAGAGAGCTCGACACTCGGCAATCCGATGCCGTGCTTGTGAATGCACGTGACTAAATCCGTGCCCCACACCAGCGGAAAGTCGTTCTGCGCCATCGCCGTCTTCGTCACCTCCATCACTGCCTTCCATGATGGTTGCATCGTTCCCCTCCCGCAACCTGCATTTCTCAATGCCACTCGTCAAATTCTCCCGCTATGAAACAGCAAAAGCAATTGAGTGATGACCACTCGACCGAAACCTCGAGGAAACATCAACACCCTGTCAAACAGAAGACCCATTCCAGCAACTTCTCGCAACCTCGGGAAAGCAAACTTACCTCAACGGGCGAGCTGGCAGCAGCAACCCTCCTCAGATCCCACCGCCACTAATCGCCAAAGCCTGAGAATATACACCAGGCATGACGAACACAGCCAATCCTTCCCACACTGAACGTCTCCTCCGTCTCCAACTCAAAAAAAAAGACACGAATTGCGGACACAACCCACTTTATCAAAACAGCAGGTAGGATCCCGTCCTACAAACTTCTTAATTGGTGGCTGCAATGTGGGTCCCACTTCAAGAAGACCCAAGGCGACACAGCTTCTAAATACAGCAGGGCCCTGAAAGACACATGACCACTAACCCTTCACCCCCTGAGAGCAATGACGCTCACAAGCCACATCCAGCAACCGCTCTTCAACTCACAGACACCGAAGCTGGGAGGAGGGTTTAAGCAAATTCCTCGCAGGCGAATTCTCACAGCGGCATTTTCCTCTTCTGTTTCCAGTCTCCTACATTTGCGACCTCCACGTTTAGACAACTGCGCCATATATCATTATTTTGGGTGGAGAAGGCCCCGTCACGCTCACGCACCCTCCTCCACATTGTGGACGATGGGGGTGTGAATGCGCACTGTGCACAGTGTCTGTCTGCAAACCTAGTACTATGCTGATGATTGTCGCTGGAGCCTCTTCGCCGCTATTGCCTCGTTTGCGTACCATTACAATCGAAATCGGAGCGCGTCGAGGGATTTAGGGGTGCCGCTGCCATTTCTACAACCACCCCGCGGTTATAGATCCCACGCCCCCAGTGCGGTTGTAGATCGCCATTCGTGGATGGAGTCGCCTTTGATGGATGGATGAAATATTCCCCATTCGCCATGTCTTTCCTTATAAATATTTCACATCAATGGAAAACCCAATTGAAGATTCTAGAGGATTGTTGTCGTTGTTGGAGATGTGCGTAGACTGTGTGGTTGGTGCTGCATTATATATATATATATATATATATATATTTTTTCATTCTTTATGAGAGATGTGATAATTGATAATAAATATGAAAGATACTTGTTGGTATTAAATTAAAATAGAAAATATGTACGTCTGGAAAATAATCTTAGAAATGGACATGGGGATTAAATGTTTGAGAATGAGATGTTTGAGATGATTCCGAGTTAAATAAGATTTGGAAGGAGTCAAATTCACTTTGTTCAGAAAGAGTTATTTAGGAAGTTGAAAATGGAATTGATTTCATTTGTGGTCTAATTTGATATTATGAATTATTATAAAAGAGCATCACAGAAGGATATATACTAGCATAAATCACTTGTGTGGTGCTTTTAAAAGAAAATTATAACATGCACCAACCACACAGTCTATGCACATCTCCAAAAAATTAAAGAGAAATATATAATATATCTAAAATAAAACACAAATAAACGTACTAATAATACTTTACTTTCTCTTCAAAATAAATAACAAAAAAAATAATTGTAAATGATTGCACATAAATAAAACAAAAAAGGGAATATACATATTGTTATAATACTTTTGTTACAAAAGAAGATGAATTTAATTTTAGATCAATGGACTAATTTTGTAGTACATTGATAAAACAATATATCCAAAAAACATAATTTATATCAGCGTGAGCATAAAAAAATTAAAATACTATATATATAAATAGAAAATTATTTATTTTACTTAGAGTTGTAAAATAAATAAAATATGATTTTAGAAATGTCAAAAAATCGTTACATAAATATTGATGGGTCCTCAATAAAGATAGTGGTTTTACACTTTTTTAAAATTATAGATAAAAGAAGGTGATTATTGAAAATTCTAGAAGTTATTCTAGAAAAGACCCTCTTATTTTTATACTTCTATAAATTATTAAAGAACTTAAAAAGACATAGAACAATATGATTAGTACTAGAATTTTTTAACAAATAATTTTTATATTAATATTGTATTTATGTTTCCATGAACTTATCTTAAGTTATAATTATTAATAAACATTATTAATACAAAAATGTCACACCTTATTACAAGTCACATTTTAAAAAATATTCAAATTATTAGATAGAATCATAATGTGTCAAAGATATGAATCTCAAAGAACTAAAATACACTCTTAAATCACTCAAAAATATCAATACACTCTTAAGTCACTCAAAAAGACTAGAAAATCACTCAAAGATGATATAGTATTAAATTAGAATGGCTATTGCCAAAGACAAGAGAATTAGAAAGTCGTGGAAGAAGATTAAGTACTAGAAAGGCTTTGTGGGGGCATAAATGCCTCAAATCAAAGTAAATAAGATAAATAATTGATATAGACATGTTTAGAAGGGAGTTACTATTAGATTCAAGCAAAAATTATCTCAAATTACCAAATATTTATAGCCAGCAAGGAGTGGTTGTCAACTTGGGTTGAAATCAGATCTTGAGGCACAAAACTGCATACCTATGGCGACTATGGCAACTCCGGGGTTTTTTTGAAGAGATTGGAAAGTAAGATTTGAGGGCAGACTTATAAAGAGATGTTTAAGCATTGGTTTCATGTCAATCAAGTTATTATTTAATTTTTGGAAGAATTTTAAAATTAATGATTTTTTTAGTTGAATTAGATTTTGAACAATAAAATTATGTTTACAAAATTAAGGGTTTCTTGAGTTCTATAGTATATTTATAAGTAAATTTTAGGCATTATGTTGGTGTACTAGTTTTTTGTGTGTGTGTAAGTTTTGAGGTCAATTGAATAGTTAGATCAAAGTGTGTAAAGATTTTTGTGGATTGAGATCTCAAAAATTGGAATTTGAAGGTCAATGAGTATTTTTAAGATCTTTAATAATTTGTTAATTGGATTGAAGTGAATTCTTCTTATGTGGAGACTAAACTTGATTTTCAATAATTTAGATATATTTAAGAGGCAATTCAATGATTCAAGAAGGAGATATTGGCACTAGAAGTCCAACATTCAGATTGGAATAGGACGTTAGTCAATACCCAAGCAGAATTTAGATTTGATCCTCTACTTGGTAAGTTTGATCTTCTTTAAATTTTTTGTACTTGTTGCCAACTTAGTTTTTGAGAGGTATGTGAAATCTTAGGCGAGATCAACAATATAATCAATGAATATTGAGATTCTAAATTGCCCTAAAAGTAGGTTAATTTAATTTGGATTTAATTTAAGGTTCAAAAATTGGCTAGGATTTAGAATTTGTTTGGGATTTAGTTAAGATTTGATTTAGGATTGAATTAAGATTTGATTGGAATTTATTTAAGATATATTTAAGATTTTATTCTAATACTTCTTTTAAATTTCTTTAGGATTTCTTCATGCTTCTTTTGTAATTTCTTTGAGGTTTCTTTGGATTTGATTAAAGATTGATTAGCATTGTTAAGGTTTAATTGGAGTTATTCAGGATTTTATTAGAATTAAAATCTTTTTGTTGTAATTTTCTTTCTACCTTCTACAACCAAGTATTCAATTCATTCTCAAGCAAGGCTTTATGTAATATGACATCATGACATAATGCTAATATAGATGATGAATGATGGAGTTGCAAAACCACCAAATATGTTTGAACTAGTAAATTAAGTGGTGCCATTCCAAGACATTGGATATAAAAGAATAATATGATTTTAAACTTTAAACTAACTAGAAGGAATACATATATACATACTTGCATATATAAATTTAATACATTATATAATAATTTATTAATTAAAATAAATATTAAAAAATAAATAAATACAAGACATATACATACTTAGTTACATACAACAAACAATTGAGCTTTGTTTGTATTGTTGCAAAGATTTAAATCATTCTTTATGAATAAGTAGGACAAAGAAGGCGACCATGAATAATATCCAAGGTATAGATAGGAAATGAATGGATGTTTTATGATCCCAACGTCGTCGACCAACTTTCATTCATCCGTTATCGAGTATTCGCATCCCGGCCATGTCTGTCAAGCTTTGCGAGCCCGCGGAGAAGGGGGCGGAATGCGAGTTGTGGTCTCGTCGTCGCAATCGCGTCAGTCACCTCGTGGCTCGCATCGCCATTGATATGCGACTGTGTGCGTGTTCGTCTTGTGTGGAAGAAGACGAGCAGAGGAGCTTCAAGGCTGGCTTCAAGCTTTTTTGTGGGCGATGGCAGAAGACTCGCTGTCGGAGTTCACGCATCGCGCCCATGTATTCTACTTTCGGGATGCATTGTTGGAGCAGCTGCCGTCCCCGTACGAACCCAACGACGTGAATCGTCTTACGCTCGCTTACTTCGCCGTCTCTGCGCTTGATCTCTTGAATGCCCTGGACCAGGTATGTGCGATGATGATATTTCTTCAAGCAATGCTGTTGTTGGTACGTTGCCATTCCCTTCGGAGCGTCGCTCTGGCGAGACCCTGTCTCGATCGGAGTGCCTGTTTTGTAATTGCCCATGATTCTAGGATTGGGCTTTTTCTTTGGGTACGAGATTTAATGGGTGTAATGTACTGCTCCGATTTTCTCATCGCTATCATTTAATGTGAGAAGCGCCTTTTTTATTTTTTATTTTTTACTTTTTTTCTCCGTCAGATTTTGAGTTGGGTTATGGATAAGTTAGCGTCGTTACTCACAAGGTTCAATTGTGTGATGTTGCGGCTGCAGGTTCCAGCAGTAGATGTCATTGACTGGGTTTACTCTCTCCAGGTGCTGCCTCTGTCGGCTGATGATCCTCGCAGCTCTGTGATAAATAAGGGTATGAATTCAACCATGTGGACTCAGATATTTTTGTCCAGTTCTACGTCTCTAGCATCACCGCCGAGTATGTCGAACATGTAGTGAAAGTGTTCTGGACGATCACTGTGCATAATTACTATGGACATCAATGTACCAATTTCCTGTAATTTATATTCTTTACTTGCTACATTGGTTTCCGGGATGGATTATTCAGCTGCAATGACGATGTTTACATGTTGATCATGGAAGCTTTCGGTAATTTCGCTCGTGTAATAGTACACATGAAGGACTTTTAGCAGCAAGTTGTGGATGTCAAAGTGAGCTGCTGCCAACATCATGTACTTGTTTGGTGTTGTCTTTTTACAGAGCCTGTTTTCGGGTTTCGAGGGTCTCCTTCTATTGGCATTCGTTTCTGCTCGAATGGGGTATGTGCGTCTATGTACATGCCTGAGAAATGACTCGTGACTATGTCAAGACCTTGTTTGCTTGGTTGTATCGGCAAAATTTAAAATGTAATTTTTAATCTTATATTTTTGCGAATACAGATTTCTCGCTCGGCATAGCCAGCACACTTGGATTCATGCATCATTTACATGAGGTATCTTGTGCAGACGCCACCAATCTCGTATGATGGTGGCCACTTGGCGTCAACTTATTCTGCGCTATCTATCTTGCGTATCTTGGGGGATGACCTATCCTGTGTTGAACACGAAGCCGTTCTCAACACTGTCCGTGGTCTTCAGCAACCAGATGGCAGGTCAATATGTAGAAACAGTGCATTCCTATATGAAGTGTATTGTTAGAATGTTAACGGTGGACAGCAATAACGTAGATATTGATCCATTTAATTACATAACTTCTACTGGAGAGGATTCTGAGAACTGGTCCCTGTATCAACAGCTTTTGTCCAGTGCAGTTGGGAGCAGAAAGGGACTTGAGGTTCACCTACTGTGCAGGTGGAGTACCTTCCTTATTGCTAATATAGTCCTGTTCGCAGCAATTTGGATTTTAGGTCTTTTGGTCCTAGCTACATCAATCTGAACTCGATCAGCTTCCTACAAACTAGCGGATGTGAGAGATCCACATTCAGATATTTTCATGAGGCTGTTGTGTGTTCACGCCTGCTATGCTTCAGACAATAGTTTCATCTAACAATTTATAACGCTGCCGAGGGAGGTGGGGTTTACATGAAGACAGCTGCCATCTGTTCATTGCTCAATAATTGGAAAGGGATGGATGTGGATAAGTCAGTGGCTTACATCCTCAGCTGTCAGGTACTGTGCTTCATACAATATGTCTGTCTAATCCTCTCTTCACTTAAGTCAATTTTTCCATACGCAAATAGGAGTGTATACTGTGCAGTTTCTTCTACGATTAATCTCCAATTTTTTTGTTTTAAGAAATTTTCCTGACCCTCAAGATTTGGTGCGGCTTTTCAAATCTTATTTATTTTATTTTTTTGTGGGTTTCCTGTTGTGTGCAGTCCTACGACGATGGTTTTGGCATGTACCCCGGTCTTGAGGCTCATGGTAATAACAACATTGTATAAGATTTCTTCTTGTGTGTGTTTCCAGATCATTTCTTAGTCTAGAATTTTCTTCCTGATCTCCCGCGTTTGGTTTTAGAAGGAGCTGTACTGGCTTACTGCGATTGATGAGTACTTGACTTGCTTGGAATTTTGTATCTGTCCCTCGTGTGTTGGGACTGCCAAGTCTAAACTTTAATGTAGTTGCACAATTTACTGTTCAACAGGGGGTGGAACCTACTGTGCCCTTGCCAGTTTGAAGCTTATGGGTCGGCTTCTCAATGATAATCTTCATGACCAGGGACTGATAGCGGGTGTCTTAGACAGGACAGGCCTTGTAGGCTGGTGCGCCCGGGTAAGTTGAGCCGCACGCCTTTAACGATGTACTGTTTTTTGTAAAGTTTCATTCGCACTTGTGCTTCACAATCTGGTGGAGCTTTCCATCAGTCATTTCTCTCATTTGCAGCGTAAAGAACAAAGTGATAGACACGGGATATCTGGGTGAGGACAGAGACAGACCGACTGTGGAGGTTTTCAAGGAAGAGTGAACAAGCTAGCAGATACATGCTACGCATTCTGGTACTTTCATCATTAAGTTTTCTGGCTTTGTTTTGGTAGTCTTTTTGGTTTTGTCCCCTCTACCCTTCTTATATCTACTCATGTAATATTTGGAATGTACTGAACTTTAGATACGTCTAGCATGCGTCTGTACGCAGTTTTCATCGCTTAACCGAGAGATATCAACTGGCTGTTATATTTTTATGGAACCTGTCGTTTGCTTACCTAGACTTCGTTCGGGCAGGGTGGGGGGCTCATTGAAGATGCTTGGGAAATACAATTTATGCGACGCCGCTAAATTGAGGTCGTTTCTTTTCACTTGCCAAACAAAGGTAAGTTGTTGACCTTGTGTGTTGTTTTCGAGAAATTCATTATGCATCAGATGTGGTTCTTGCCTTCAAGGGTTTAATGAAAGTACAATGAACAAAATGAAATTTGATGGTAGTTAGCTGAACTACTAAGTTTTAATTTGGTAGTATAGGTGAACAATCTCTTTTTTGCAACTCTTCATTCATTAACTTGTTTCTAATTCCTCAAGGATTCTCTTCAAATGAGCTTGTGTGTGTGTGTGTTTTCTATTTTTTTAATTTTTTGTAATTTTATTATTTTTACAATCCACTGATGTGAGAATTTATTTACAGTTTGGCGGCTTTAGTAAACTGCCACATGGGTATCCAGATCTGCTGCACTCGTATTATGGCGTATGCGCGTTTAGTTTACTTGAAGAATCAGGCTTACAATCCTTGTGTCCCGAGCTGGGGCTCTCCACAAGGGCTAGTTATAATTAGGCATTATTTCCTTTTAGCGCTGAAGCTCTTGTACAAAAGCGACCTAGACTCAAGTTGCTGTAAGTGGAATTAAGGCAGGGATTGCGTTCATACAGGTGACCAATCTTGCAATTTCAACAAGCGACTTCGCTCCCTGACGCTCTGCTGTTGCATAGTTTACATGCAGCAAAAAAACTAGTGTGTTTCGGTACAGAATTCGCAACCAGCACCAAGATTTCACATCATGCATTGCTCCTCTCAAATTCCCTATTCATTTAATCGAAGTGTCTTTCTCCCTTCAAAACAGTGTCGACATACTGAAACCTTGCTATATGATCGACAAATGATCAGAAAGGTCTCGTTTAGATTCATTGATACTACGATGTTCACTGTTCTCAACCACCATGACAACTGGGTGTGTCGTGTCTCTCGCAGGTTTGCCATTAGATACGTTTTTTCTAAGCAGTTCTTTACAGGAATTTAGACCTGCGCCAAAATAAGCTCATCGAATTTCAGATAGATGTTTTGGACATGCCATGATGAACTGTGTCAACAATGCGATATTTAAACCAACCATGCAAATCTAAGTGGATAAGCACAACACTACTGAGCATGCACATGGAAGATCTAGCATGTAGAAATAGTACACCAATTTTCTGGAAGCAACGCGTCTTAACCGGTTAGAGTAGTGACAAATCGCTAGTAACAGTACTCCCCCGATATCTTATCCAAGGAGGCATGATACAATGCCTAGAGTTTCTCTGTCTTCGTTTCTAAAATATTACTCAGAATTAGCAAAACAAGGAAAAATGCAACTGTGCGATGTCCTAGATCATCCCTTAATCTTAAGTCGATGTCGCCTGAATAAGTGCCCATCCAGCAACACTTAAGCTTCTATCGAAGTGCATGTCCACAGAAACTCTAGTTACAAAATATCATTATACTTACATCATACCCAAGCTTTGACAACGGATTGGCTCTCCACCCATTCAGTAACATTCAAATACAATGAACACAGGCGACACCGTAATGAGCACCGACACAACGGATAGGGCAGTTTTGGGCCTCAAAGTTAGCACCTGATTTTGGATCGTGCTCAGGAATGGTAAATGACTAAACGTCAGCCAGAGCAATTGGATCCCACTGCTGGGGTGTCGTAGGAAGTCTCTTTTATTCGATCGATCTGGATACATTTTCTCAATTCCATCAGGTTGGAATGGATCAAACCTGAGCTACGTGCAAAGACGGTACTCATCGGGTCCTGCACAGATATGTTCCAACGAGAAAATTCAAATCAGAAGCACATATATCTAAACAAAGTAGCATTACAATCCAGCAGGCGAAGGAAGTCATGGAAACTATTGTCGATGAGTTCCAGACGACTCGGACTTAACCATTCTCATTGCTTCCATCGTCAACATCGCTTGATGAACGTCAATAACTGAAGCAACGTCGTGGATCAAGACGATCAATAGTGCAATGGTGGACCTCTTGACTGTAAATAACACACACCACACATAACACTCTAAACAATACACTCGACTTCCAAACTCTCAAGACTTCTAATGAGAACGACATATAGGCAAGAGAAGTAACGAGAAAGAGCTGATCATAAGGCAGGATCGATCACTGAACCTGTATGGATTCCAGAGTGAGGCGAACGGATGGCAAAACTCGGTGATTCTAGCAGGACCCACGATCCAGATGGTAACGAAGAAGTTTCGCTTCAATGCATCAAACGTTTACTGAACAGCTGGAAAAGCGACATCCAAAATCCTCATATTTCACGCAAAGTTCTCACCACAACGTGCACATCTAAAACTTGACCATAGGTCTACAAAACAAGTGAAAGATGACATGATGCCATACAAACTAGTGAAATTCTGTCCTGCTCATCCCCATCAGACAAGTCTATCTATCAATTGTGTGAAGATTGCATAGTTGTGAATATGTATTGATAACTAGGGAATAATAATTTGGAAGTTCATATCTCAATGAATGAACGCTGCTTATTCACTAATGCAGTTTGGCTTATTTAATCTTGATAAATATGCAATGATACAAGTTTATATATATAATACAAGTATCGTATTTTGTAATAACGTACAAAAATAATCAGATGTATCTTTTTAAAAGATGTTTAATAATTATGAATTTTTTAATAATACATGTGTAGCATAATAATTATACAATAAATAAATGAATGAATAAATAAAATACATATGGTAATTTTTGCATAAAAAATAAACATAAATATAATATAATATAATAATTCAATGTAAATATACAAAATAGTAATTTTATTTTTGTTTTGATAACTAAATTTCTTAGATTATTTTATGTAAAAAATACTAAAAAATATCTTTAAAATATTTATTAATTTTATAAAGAATTATTAATGTAGTTATATATGTATATGTGTATGTACATTTTAATTTAATGTGTTAACTATAAACTATAATCCCACTTGGCAATAACAATTTTGGTACATATCATATTTTTGGCTAAGTAATGACTAGAATTTGAAAAGTGATTTTAGGCAAGAGTGGACTAGGTTGATCAACAGGGAGCTTCCTTATTGACCATTTGCTAAGCTATGATCTTATTAGATGTGTTGCTTTCCTTGATGTATTCAACTAAATTTAAGTAGTATTTATATCAATGTGTTGACAACCACATTGAAACTTAGCTAAGAGTATTTTAAAATGAAAATTTGTATAATATTTTGATATAAAGAGTTGAGGAGGGCATCTAAGTTCATTTTCTTCTACTTCACAAAAAAAAAATATGAAACATATTAATCTCCACAAAATCTTAGGAGATTAATATTCAAGAACAGTTGTACAAGACTATCCCTAGACTTAGTCTCATTGACAAACTCCACTTGATAGATTATCATCTAAGAAACTTTAACACAGAAAACAAGTTCAACAATTCAAAATAAGTTAATCATTCCAACAAATAACAAGGGAGGGCAAGGGGCAGAGGGATTAAATCCTCTCTCAGTGTCATAAAGGTATTCTCTTCTCAGTTAGAACACATTTCTCTATCCCCCTAATAATTATGATGCCCAACTTTGTTACATTGTTTCGACCCTACTGCAAAAATTGTTTCAGCAACACTTTACTTGCACTACTACTTTGAGACCAACTTTTGGCCTTGGTCTTGTGACCTACTTTTCCTCTAGGCTTCCAATTTGTATGGGCACAATTGAATTTTTTGGACCTGTCCGGATTGTTCTATTGGATGAATATCAATTTCAAAAATTTATCTGCGTTGGGTGGTCGTTTCTTGGTGCACATTCAGCAAGGTTTATCCAGGACGAATTGCTCAGGATAGAATTACTCTAACTGTAGACCAGAAGACTCCAGGAAGAACACACCAATTGTGCTGCTTTAAAATAACCAGACTAAAATTTCATTCATTGAAGCAGAGAATATATCTCCACAAAAAAAGGCTTATTGTCTCTCTGATACCAATTCCTCTCATTTTCTGCAAATTATAAACAGAACTTTAAATCACACGGGCATGGATCCATTACAAATTCCTCGAGCATCAATCACAAGGTGCATCAGACAACACGACTGCATATTCCAAGTGCGCCAGCGGTGAACGTACCCACCAAGTAGGGGAAGAAACGTCATTCGAGTGTTGTGCATTTACCCAGGTAAAAACCACTTGAAATAAGACGTAACAGAGGCTGCTGGAAATCGCCATTACGCAAGTGTCATCTAGGAATCAGATAAAATGTTCATAGAATTATATATTGAACTATCCTTCTCTTCAGATGTCTTGTGCAGAAATATCCAACTGTCGACGGGATAGTGAAAAGGCATGGCACCAAACAGGAATCTCAGCCAGAAGCTAGGTTGAGTCAACATATTTTGGAAACCTGAATTAGTCGAAGAGAGAGCGCTGCACGTACCTACAGATAAAATCAATGCTATCACAACTTGGAAGAAGCGACGATAGGTTCCAGTGTAGCGAGTATCTCTAATTCCTTTATCTCTGCCTTGAACATCTGCTTCTTGATGGTTTGGTAGACGACACGGTCAAAATTCCTGCTTGCAAGACCTTTAGCAAGCTTCAGCGCTTCTTGATATGTGGATTGTAAATCTGAGGGCGAACTATGAACCATACCAGCTTCCACTGCTGTCTGGCCAGTGTATCGAAACGCAGATAGCATTGCCTTGTGATATGTCATAACGGGAAGCTTGCATCGAATAATAGCATTCATGCCTGAGGGAATTGGATAACAAAACCACCATTAAGTATAAGCAAGCATTGATCAACTAATACCCTACTGCAACCTCTACTTGCTGAATTTGGAGATAAATATCACACTAGACAAACTTGCAGGGCACATGAATGCAAGCATAATCTCAACGACAAGAGCACATCCAACCAACATAGCCATAGCAAAAGCTCCTGATAGCAAACCCCAGATCTTTCGAGTCCGCTAAAACTAAATTCACTCTACACCTCGCGATTGGTGAGACCAACCAAAAGAGTGTGCAGAGCTGCAGATGAAGTGGAGACATAGTTCCTCCATTCAATTGAGGAGAAACAAAGGGGATGAAACTGTTGCAGCTCACATGTATAAAGTTAAAATTCACCTGGGGAGAAGGGGAGTTTGATGTCGATCTCGCTGAGGAACATGAAACCTCTGTCGGCCCGCATGAACCTGTAGTCGTGAGCAAGGGCTACCATGCATCCTCCGGCAACAGCGTGACCATTCACAGCCGCAACAGTGGGTATCGGATAGGTGAGTATTCTCTTCAACAGTGCATGAAACTGGTCAATTAGCTGCATGTTTTCCTTTGAGCCCCTGTCCTCCAAGCTCAGACTTAGTCCATTAGAATAGAACTTTCCCTCTCCCGTGGTAACAAGAGCGCAAGCCTTGGGATCGGCCTCCACTTTGTCGAGGGCAGCCATAATTTCGGGAATACTTTGGGGAGTAAAACGGTGCTCCCCGTCTCCAACAAGCGTCAGGACGTAGACATTACCAGGTAAGAATTCTAGCCTCACTGCCATTGCTAAATATCTTTTCTGCCCCCTTTCTGCTTTGTTACCAATATAAGACAAACCTGTACATTCCATGTTGCAAATGTGCAGAATTACAGGAGTGAGAACTTGTGGCAACAAAAGCAAGAATAAAAAAAAAATCTGATTTCAACCCACAAACCTGAAGAAATTGGTGTCCTCAATATCCTCTTTAATCCACACATTTATATTATCTACAGAAAGTAATAGGATAAATTCAAATACGTCGAAATCCAATCTGTAAGAATGTCGAGAATACACTAAGCGACTCGATAATCCTAATTTATAGGTTGAGAGGGCTGTGGATGACACAAACTTGCATTAAATATTCGACCAATTCTCCTCACTGCGGGCAGATTTCAACGAGATAACTGAAGGAAACTCACCAGCGATGCACGGATGCAAGAATAATTGTGTTTGTCTTACAGCGATCAGTGCAAATTTCAAATAATTCGCATAATCACGTTATTCTCCATGCCTTAAACAGAATATAAGTGTAATTCCTTGCAAACCCACTGCACGATATCTATTCTGCCTAAGCGTTCCTTCACTCCCTTACACGTGAAGTATAATAAGTTTTAAGTGCAGCCTTGAAAAATACATTCCACAAAGAGTAGCATTCAATTAGCACAAATTATTGCAAAATTCACAGCAACCACTGATTGTGCAGAGAAAAGTCATGCCTTCTAGCAAATCTCTACAATTCTATGCACAGTTATGTACAATTATCTGGGTACCGAGAAGTAGCAAAAACTCGACAAGATTTTCTGCACCCACTAGCGCAAATCCCAGGATCATGCTTTACCAAAACAAAACCCTACTCTTCGCAAAACAAGTCATCTCTCAGAGTTGTTCTATTATACACTTCTCTATGTTCAATTACCGAACCGAATAAGCACTACTACTGCCAATCCTCAGCCAAAGTCTCAAACACCCACAATTTTCCTAAATCACATCCTCATCCAGCAAAAAAAACATGTAGCCATTCAGTGGCAAATGCAATAGCGGAGGAAATCACCAGAATTTAAATCGCTGCTCCACAAGTTAGAAAATCGAAGATCAGCGACCTCAGCGGCGTAATACTGACTATGATCACAGGCGAGGAAGAGATTTCTGTGGAATTCGACCGACAATATTCCGGAGCGCACGGGGCAGTTCGGCGCCGACGTGAGCGAAAGTGGAGTTGCTCCTTCACTTTCCAGCGTCCACCGCATCCGAATAAGAAAACCCATAAATAAATAAACAAATAAACAGATAATCCCCTCGAAATTTATCTTCAAATCACGTCGATGAAACGCCGATCTGTGCTCATCACAGGTAGAGCTAGAAAAATGCATTCGTCAAATCCTTCGATTACTGATGTTGTGTTGATTTGTGTGTTTGTGTATTTTTTCGTTTTTTTTATTTCTTTTGTTTCATTCATTGTTACCATAGGTTTGTCACAAAACTGGATTTACCAAATGGTGTGGATAGATTGAAAACTGAGCACAACCTTGTTGGATTCTTATATTTTAGAGGCATGGCTGATACAAGAGGAAGAGAACATGAAAATGCAAATGATTCTTTGAAAGGTGTGAAGAATTCTACCATCTACAGGTTCCAACACATTTGAACTTGTTATTTCATTTAATGTTCAATTTAATTTGCACTCCTACAGTACTTTTGGGTGTTTTAAATTTGTCTCAATTTTTTTATCAATGTTATAGCAATTATTCAATTTTTTTTATTTTAGTGTAACTAACATTTTGATAGCTATTTCTCATATTATATCAAAATAATTCAAACATGTTTTATTTTTATTTTGATGAGTATTATTTCATTTCATTCCGAAAATAAAGTAGCCAAAATTATGATAGTAAGAATTTTTTGTTTTGGCAACAAAAAAAACAATGATTACAATATATATATATATATATATATATTCATACATACATTTTTATAAAATAAAAAATATGGTTTTCAATACTAAAACTTATTTTAAAAAAATTATACAAAAGAAGCATTGTCTAGTTCTAGATGCAAACATAATTGCACTTGCAAAATCAAATGTATTTTCACGGCAAATAAAGAAAAACAATATGTAGAGGTGTTAGAGTGAGATTGTGTTGTATATCTATTAATTGTTATTCCACTATGCTAATTAGCCACATATATAAAATATTCTTAGATGTTTTTAGTATAAATTAAATATCTTTTTAAATGAAGAAATAACTTGAAAGTAAAATGGATTGCTATTTAGAATTTATTAAGTTCTAAGCCTTGTGATAGGTACCTACAAAATTTTGTTGTATACATAACCAAGTTAACATCAATGTTCTAATAATATATCTTAAGATCAATTAATGTTTTTTCCACTACTCTATAGAATAACTTAAGTTTTTTTTTAAAAAAATCTTTATTTGTATCTTCGGATTTGTAAATCATTCTGATGATCTTTGCAAAGCCTTCTACTAAATTGTTATTACTTATGTTTTCATTTGATGTTCTATTTTTATAAGATTTCAAATGAATAAGGTTATAATGTAGAAATCGATTATGTATCCACTTGGTACACCACAAATCTTGTAGGTATAAGCATGATATATTATATATTACATATAAATCCAACATAAGCATGCTATAATTGAATAAAAATTGAAAGAGTAGAAGTATCTTGTGATTTATATAAATCTAACTAACCTTAAATCTAAGGGGGTAGAACACCACTATTCAAATTTTGACAATATTCCAAATAAGAGGAATGCAAGTGCTTCTCAACATTTTTCATCTTCATGAGTAAGTTGTATATGGCTTCATTCCACTTCTTGAAGCAAAGATTGAATACAATAAATATAATTTAAATCCTATGTAATTCATTTATATAAAGCATTAGCATTCTTTTTAATTTAATAAATGAGAGAATAATGGAGAGTCTAGTACAAATTTATAAAATAAGTAAATATTTTTTTAATATAATAATATAATTATTTTAGTTCATGTTCTTAAAATCATGTTCTATTTTTTGGATCCAAAATTTTATTTAAATAGATACTAATTTAGAATTTCTTGATTTAAACTTCTAATGATATATATATATATATATATATATATATATATATAAATTCTATTGTATCTTAGATTATAACTTTCAGAATTTATTAAATCAAGATAAATAAATATAAGATCAAACAAAAAATGTATTTAATTTTTTTTTTGCACACATGATTTTTATGAGATTTTTTTATTTCATAGATTACTTATTTTTGCTCCTTTAAATAATACTTATATCATATAGATGATTTATTATTTTTGCTCCTTTAAATAATACTTATATCATATAGATGATTTATTATTTTTGCTCCTTCAAATAATACTTATATCATATAGATGATCTAGTGGTTGAATCTTATTTTTTTCTACTCCTTCAAGTTAAATTTTTTAAAAATAAATTAAAAAATATTATCTATTAGAAAAATCTAATATTACTAATAAGAGATTTTTTGGAAGCCTTGGTCCAATATATGATTTCTATGATTACTAAAATACTATCTAAAATAAACATAAAGAATAAAAAATAAAAAATAAAAAAACTTAGTTTGAATATTTACTTTTTAAAATACCTATAAATAAGTTTTTATAAAGATTTTGCATATATTTTTAAATAATATATTTAATAGAATAACCGAGATTCAATTACTAAGGATGAACATATGATTTTATTTATATATAAATATTATGTGTTTTTTAATATTATTCTATGAGAAATATCCATTAGCTAGAGCATGGTTAATCATAAATGTCATAAACATACATCATTACTTAAATAAGAATTATTAGGTAGAAGATAAATAAATATAGATTTGATAATATCTTGTATAATAGCTTCATAGAAGCTTCATAGACATGAATTTGATTGTAGACGTGTTTGTAGTTAATTGGTAGGTTAAAATCTTGGCCAATAAGTTGGCCATGTGTTGCACATTTTGGCAACTTGTGGTAAAAGTTGGCCATGTAGTACATATATAAGAAACTTGCCTTAAAAGTTAGATACATATCTTGCAAGCTAAATACATGTCAAAGGTCCTATAAAATGTCACCATTTATCTCCAAGTTAGATTGTATATATAGAGGCAAGAGTGAAACATTCTTCACCTTTGTCATGGATTTTTTTTATCCTTAATCTTATTTCAAGAATCTCTAGTCTTCTAGTTTCCAGCAATAGCCATTCTAATTATAATATATTATTATCTTTGAGTAAATATCTACTCTTTTCAAGTAACACAAGAATGTATTGAGGATTTTATTGTTTAGGATTCATGTCTTTAATAATAAATAATTATTAAAAATTATGAAAAAATTCTATAATAAAAAATTATATATATAATTATAATGACTCGTTTAGGTTTTAATTAATTTTAAATTAAAATTAAAAAAATTAAAATTATATACTTCTTATATTTCATATAAATTTTATTTAAAAATTTATAAATATATATAGATATAAAAATTTATATTAAAATATTCTATAATTATTTCAAAGGTAATACTTTTAATTTTATTAGCCACTTAATTATGTACAAGAAAAAATAAGTTAAAGTAAATAAAATCATATAAAGGTATATTTTCTTATATTTATGATTGTAATTTAAATAATATAAAACATTATTCTACGTAACTTTTATTATTCAAAATCTATCTCTCTTTATATATATATATATATATATATATATAGAATATTATAATGTCATAAGTTTTCTACCTTTGTTGATTAGAATTTTATTTGTTTATTTATTCTAACTAAGATTATGAATCAAGATATAATTTATTAGTTTACTATTATTTTAAAAATAAATCATGTACCATAATGATGTAATTGTACAAAAGATAAAGTGATATTTATTCTAATTAGTAAGTTGTATCAAATTAAATGATGTGAAAAATATGTGTAATATCATTTCTTATTAGAAATTAAACTTTAGTTGATGTTACATTTTAACAATAGAAAATGTATCTATAACTTTAAATTTTTACATAAATAATCATGTCCAACATAAAATATTCATTTAAGTCAATGAAATTACTTGCTTGAATTATAGTTGTGAAATATATACTTGATATAAGCTAATTTTTAAAATATATATATATATATATATATATATAAGTATACACATATGCGAATTTTTAAAAGTATAGCTTTATTTATAATCTAATTTTTTATATATTTATATATTTATATATTCATAATCTTTACAAAAAACAGTCCTAGACATAAACAATCTCAGTGCTAACGGGTGGATTATTAAGTTTTTGTCAAAAAATTCTTCAAGATTAACAGATATTACAGGATTTGTCAATCCGCATTCTATATTTAATCCAATTTTTTAAATCTTGAATTCATGCACCCACACTTATTAGCTTATTTCAATGTTAGATATATTACATTGAAGTATGACATTTTTCAAATTATCTTTTGCTCACAGGAATGATTGTAGGCATTCAACAAATGAATTGGTTATTACACATCATTGGAAAGTTTGGTTTACAGTAGAAACCCCTTTCCATGGCCTTGTGGCCTATCCCATAACTCAATTTACTTAATCTTTTAATATTGGATCCATTACGAAGGCTAAATATTTTACACCTGTGGTCCGCCTTTGCAACCATAAAAAAAATCATCCACGTGGATTAGCACTACCCGGGTTAAAATGGGTCCTTATCAATAGCAACCCGAAACGTTTTTCTGCCCGTTACTTTTTCTGCATTGCCAGAATGACGTTAAAAGTATGGCAAAGACTGAAAAGTTGCGCGAGGGAGGCGCAGGCACGCAAGAACGACGTCGTGGTTGTTGCTTCATTAGCTCTTGTGCTCTTTGGCAATTAAGGCCTGTTGCTGCCGGATCCCTTTCTGATCGCTACTTCTGCATGTGCCCTCGACTTGAATTTGCTTCCATCTGGCTACGCTCCGCATAACAGTTTGGTATACATCTCCCGTTTTCATCGGCCACTTTCGGACGGTGATTTTGTCGTCTTTGTACCGAGGCTGTCTCGTGTGAGATCGGATCGGTTATGCAGATTGTAATGTGCCGGTAGCATTGGAATTTGGAGGTATGCCTTGTTCCTTTCATTTCGACCGGAGTCGACGTCTTCAGTAATTTCAATTTTGGTCGATTAGCGGTCTTGCTCCCTGGAAATTGCTGTCGGATGTGGTATCAACTCGAGTGGTTAAATTCTGAGGGGCTTGTGGAACAATCATAATGTCGCATGTGGTGAAAATCGAATTAGCAGGTGCTGGGAGTGGCATTGTAGCTGGACTGCTGACTTGTTACTTGCAAGTGGTGGATTAAATTTCGCCCCATTCATCGGATAATGATTGTGTGTGACATTGAAGGTTTGTGCGTCGAATGTTTAGTGCAGGATTTATGGACTTTCAGGCACATGCAATGCACGAGGCCGAATAGTAGATGATTCATGCCTAGATTACTATCTCGACGCTGCAATTTCTGAGGCTGTAGGCGGGCGTTTTAAGTCCTCCACTGGCTTTGTCTCTTTGCTTTGAACTCTCTGGCACTCGTCAGGAAATGTGCGTGAGAAAATCTCATTCATTTATCGTCAGTATTCAGATGCAATCATTCTTGTCTGTCGGAGTCTCTTTGGAAAGCAGATTTTGTACATGGTTAACAGGTTTGATTAGAGGTTGGGGATGGACTGAAATTGGTCAACCGGCACATTACCGAAAACTGATGCTGAACCAGATGTCACATATTTGAGCGTTCGCGGATATGGTCTCTCAGCATCCTTTCTAGGAATGAATCACCTCAGTGCAGACGATCAAATCTAAGCTGGCAAAGTTACTGTATATGTAGAATGCTTGGAAGCAGAATAGTCGATTACCAACAACAATGAATGAAAACTCAGTAATAGGCACCATGATTGGACTATGTTTCCTTGACGTGACTACTAAAAATACTCACGGTTTCTTGCAGAATTTCAATGGACAGAATAACGTGCCAAGGTTGCAAAATATTCAGATGGAATGTTGGCCTTTTGAAATTGTTTCCAACGAAGTTCCGGAAGGGAACAGTTCAAAAAAGTTGAGAAGTTACCTTGCTTTGCCACCATGGTTTAGTCTCTGGCAGTATCGAAGCTTAAATACTACAAGGTTCGTTGATAATGTCGCTTTGTTTGCTCAGGTTATTTAATGAAACTGAAGGTGTGGTTGAGTAGGGTTTGTGCATCTCAACGTGGAAGATATTCTAGAGGGTTGGGAGGGTGAAAGGAGAGAAGTGACCGCACGTAGCAGCCTTCCCCAGGATGATCTGGTGACTAACTTGTACAGTTCTTTTATCTGTGCAGGCGATCAAGAACGATTTTTTCATAGGGCTTCTGTTATCGTTAATTGGCACTGCTTGCGCATGGATATGTTCAGCCTTCTCAACTTTGCTTAAGTTTGATTTCAAGGGCTGGATCCATTTGGTTCAATTTGAGCTCATTTGTGCTGTTGTTATCATTTGGACAATCTTTTCTAAATGAACCATGATTTTGGCTCATTTTTTTCAACTTGTGTATTCGCCTGGTCAATGCGTTCCGTTGTCAACAGTAAGGTCAGAACCCCGACCTAGTCTTATGTTGTAATCTGCGCAATAGTTCGGTAGAATCCTGAACTTGTGCTTCATGGTTTGCAGAGCGCACCATCGATTCTTTCTTCTTTAATTTAAAAAATAAATAAATCAGAGCTCAAGACAGAAACCTGAACAAGGAGGTCCATAAAGTCAAATGGCGAAGATAGTTCAGTAGAAATGCTGACATCTCTCTCTAGCGCAGGTCTAGCCGAGTCAGACTTTCCTAGTGTAATTGGTAGGCTTTCTGCTTCTATTACCATCCATGTTTCTGCAGGTCATGGTCTACTGTAAGTGCTATAGGGCTCCTCGGATTAAATAAGATGACTAGCTCGCCGTGGTGGTCGTATGCTCGTTCCTGATATGCCAGAAACTTCTGTGTTACAGGCTATCGCTTTCTATACAAAATGAGACTCCAAGTTAAGAGCGCAATTTTCAGAACGGAAGCATACTAACATGGATCATGGCAGTGGCGGTATTGCAGTACTTTGAGCGAAATAGCTTAATGTATGACATTCACAAAACCAGCTTAATAATCTGGTTTGGGCGATCACGGATGGTGGACATTGCATCGGAACCTAGACTTCTTCAGGCATGCAAGCAATGAAAGTGCAGAAACACCAGGTGTTATATCTATGTAACAACAAGCAGGTGCCTTCTCCTCCAACACCACGTCGCCTAGACAGACAAGATCCTAGGTAGCAGTGCAAACAGAACTTCTGGTGGCAGAATTTTTGTAGCCCACTTTAGTTGGCGAAAATCATTCAAGATATTTTCTGATGGCCATTTGTGGCGTTCGAAACGGCGGTTGAAACAATCCTCGTCCCTACCTGAGCTTCACCATTCACTTTGTGTAACATCATTCCAGTAGCCCTACGACTTAGAATTGGCATCGACAAACTATTCATTCTAAGGTGTAGCAATACTGTTAAATCCTTTTTCATATCCTTTACAGACATTCGAAGGGGAAATGTGTGGCGAGTCCACACGCCTTGAGCCACGAAATTGTTACATGGTGTAAGTGGTTGGTTTGCTTGATATTCACTTTAAAAGCTGAGCTTGTACCCAATTGTGATTCTGGTCAATAAGTATTTAACATTATTTCAAATTTTAGTTCCTGTTTCAAAGCTTCATGTGCTTTTGAGTCGAAGTAACGTCATGATTCATGTGCTTTTTTGTATGTTCAATAATCATATTAAATGTTTTGAAAAATCCACTACAATTATATTTATGTATTTAAAATTATTGTGTATTGAGTAAAATTAGTTGCTGGAATAAGAGTTCAAACGCACTTTGTGGTATTGTTTTGGTGCTTCTCTTTTCCTTTTTCAGAAATTAAAAATTAGAAAAAACGGTTGTGAAGTGGTATCATCCAAAAACACCATGCTATCTTGATTAATTTAACAATAATCAGTATTAATGTAACAAAGAATATATGATAAATGATAACTTTCATAGTATATATTACAATGCTCTTTTATTTCTGGTATTCAAATGTAGTCATATTGTGGTGGCACTTTTTTTCTTTTATATTTCAATTATAAATAAATATCACCTTGTGAAATCAACATAGTTTATAGTTTAACTATTGTAATTCTAAATAAAAACTACCCATGCATTCACCTTGATTCAATTTTTTTTGTAACTCACAAACATAGCGAAGATGAATCAAATATATATCTTTTGAAATCACGTGTCTGGATACTGGCGATTTATTCAAAAAAAGCGTCTAAAGTAAGATTCCTAATCATGTACATTGCAAGAGTTCAATCATTGTTGATCACAGATTCTTTCATATATTTCTTGCCTTACCACCACTTATTCCCTGTTACTGATTTAAAGCCAAATGCGCAAAAGTGCCGACTGAAGAGCAGCAGCAGTTCATAATGTTCTGGTTCCAAAGCGAAACCCTAGAAAAAGTTCAAGCACCGCTTGATTAGGTGCCGCAGGTGACGGTGGCCCCTGAAGTTTGAATCAGTTGTTTGCGTAGTATCTGCGTGGAGTGCTTGGCTGACGCTGTAAAAAGGTCCTGCAAGCGCTTCACCAAACACATTGATCATGTGCATTGACTCCTAAGCCCAGTTTCAGTCCACAACGCTGTTGATCACACCACGAGGATTGCGATGAATGTACTCGCCGCCTTCGATTCGAGGGAGTGGAGGGACCAGCGTCCTTGCGGGCTGCTCCTCAGCTTCTCCCGTGGCCAGCCGTCCTGACAGCTATTAGTACTTTGGAAGCATGCAACGTAGAGGCGAGCCTCAAAAGGGGAAACTGGTCAGCAAGTCGTCTACCGAAGTCTCTGCTTCAGTGCATGGTGCTGCGACGATAACGTAACTTTTACATTGAGCTCCTTGATTCACTATTTCGTCTGCACCAGTGGTTGTGGTATGGAATAGAATAGCTTGAGATGCTGTGTGCATAGGTATTCTGTTTCTTGCTTGAGTACGAAATGAATCGTGGCTGATATTCGTGTGCCCGGTCTTCTTTGGACATAAAGAGGGTGTTTGACGCAACCTATTATTCGAAATTTCGACGACGCGGTAAATTGGATTGGAATTTTTCGAGCAAGCAGTACCTGGAGAACTGGTGATTGACTGCAGAAGCTAGTCGTTGACATCGTTCCAGGATTTCATGACAGCCGCTCAAGATGGAAAACGATTCCACTGTTGACGAGCACAGCGCTCATGCCGCAACTTCGCTAATGCCAAATTACCAACGACTCAAATCAGCATATTCCTTCGACCTGTGAAATTTTAGCATGTGACACCTTTCACACCGTTGTTGTGGCCTACCTTTAGTACAGGTACAGTACTTGAAGCAAAAGATTTTCTTAACATGCGAAGACTGACAGAGACTACGTCGTCGCGCTAATTACAGACGGGAGATGCGGATCAAGAATAGACGAACAGTTTTAAAGGAGATGAATGGAAGGACCAAATTGAGAAGCGGCGAGAGCTGTAGATGACCTATTCCTGGATATTGGTCTGCGATTATGCAGGTGGAATCTGAGAGGTGGCTGTTTGAAAGTGATATCTATAACATTTTTTCGGATGCCTCGATCGAAGTGTCTGCCATAGCTACCCTAGTTGAAGGATGTTCTTGTAGAGGCCTTGGAGGGAGCAGTATGTTCAATGTGTCGATACAAATTCTGCGGAGGTACGGTAGTCGTGGCGGAATTGGAAGCTCTCTCGCGAGACGTGCTTTTCATTCTTGTCCGTCGGACCACCGGTTAGTGGAGCATCGTTCAGGTGCTGCTGTCCATTCTTTCTTGTCCATATCCGGACTGGCAATCAATCATCGATGCGATATGCAGTCATTGTGCTCTGGAACAGCCCGTCGGTGCGTGATTTGATACGCCCCATCGTGCTGACTCTGAGGTTTCTTGAATTGAAGCAGCACTTACGTAGAGCGTTTGTCAACTGAAGACTTAGGTACTTCGAAGGTTGCCATGAGTTGTTAGATCGGATCAATTTCAATCTCTCATTAGTCTGCTTCTCTGATCTACCCTTTCTCTGTCACGAACAGTTTGAACAGTTTGAACAGTATTCTCTTCAAGAGCTTTGAGCGTTGGTGAGTGCCGTAGATAAGATAGTTCGTCTCAATTTTGCATCTAACAGTCTTTGCCGAGAATCCGAGGCAATAAGGTACAGTTGTGTGAGTTTCTGTAAGTGCTCATCTTTTTCGCACACTATCTCCCCAGGAATTCTTTGCCCTTGAGTTGCTGAAGAGCTGCTACAGAGCTTTGCTTAATTCTTTCCAACAAACAACCATAAAGGCTTCTACTCCGAGCAACGATGGGAATGGGAGGGTGTGAAGTTCAGTTAAACTCTAGCAAATCCTCAGCTCGAAGGCCTTCAAGCGTACAGATTGTGAAAAGCGGGGGATGTATTAAACCACGCATCATTCACACATATTCTCCCAAAGTTTACAAGATCAAACCCGAGGAATTCTTGGATTTGGTTCAGAAGTTGACTGGGCGGCCTACCACTGAGGAATCTACATCGAAAACTTATCAGTTTTTTGGAAATGCCTCCAACTCCGAGAGTTCCCGCTCGCAGGAGAATGACTCTAGTTCGGTTCAGTCTGCGGATTATGACCGGGATGAAATTGTGAAATCCAGTGTAGAGGCGCTTGGTTCACCAGTCAGCAAGCAACTGCTCGCCTCTCTTGCTGCACCGAGGTTGGTCACTTTAAATTTCTTGCCTATGTTGTCCTCAACACCAAGCACTTTCAACCAATCTAGGAGGGATCAAGGGTTCTCTTTCTCGTCAACTGCATATTGATAAGGTAACTGCAATCGTCGTAATATGATGCAGTACGCCATTATATTGGCGTAGTAGCTTTAAACTCTAGTTTCTCTAATTACAATTAAGCTTTTAGTTAACTGAATTAGGTTTGAACGTGATGTGCTAAGTGACGGAACACGAACATTAACTCTATGCGCACTCTCAGGTCGACCGGTGAATAGTGTACGGAATTGTGTTCCTACTCTGTCACTGGTCATCAGCATATGTACAGCCCCCTAATGGAGGAGAAATGTCGAGAGTTTGAAGTTGCTCAAGCGAACGAGGATAGAAAATTTAGCGGGAATTTGAGTTGTGTCCTTGTGCGTATGTACTACCGGGAAATCATGTGTACAATATTAGAACAGTGTTCAATTTCGGACGCAGGGGTCATCCTCTGTCGTCTCTCACAATACATTACTACGAATCCGAGTTCCTCTAAGTTGCACTTTTTTTTTTTTTTTTTTTTTTTTTTTTTATCTGTCAATTCCACTCAGTCCAAAATTCGGCATGATTGCTGGAAACTCTGTTTCCACTCCTCTCTACTTGATGCTTGTCATTAACTTTTATCTAAAATGTCCTTCGATGTCTCACTTAGTCGAACTAGATGTGACTGGTATCTTTCTGGCCCACATTACCTTTTAACTGACGCATCTGAGAACCTTAGTATCAAACCCATGTTACAGTCTTCTCTGGCTTTGTCTTCAATGAACCGTTCACCGAATTCGCTATCATTAGTAGTTTCATGACACGGAGAGAATTGATGTAGTAGCTCCTGATGGATACATCTGATGCGCGAATGATTGAACAATGAATGGTCGAATGGAGCCGAGTCAAGCCTCATACACGTCGCTGGGTGAAAAAGTCTCCGATAGTTTGAGAGTTTCGGTGACGAAGAAGCGATTCGCAGGTTCTCTCACTTACCCATGCAGAAATCTCTTCCGCAATTCGTAGGTACGAGGATCTTAGCAACGCTCAGCTCTGAATCGGCTCATGGTAGGTAATCTAGGCAATCCCTGTCAATTTCTCTGGTCAATGTTGCGTGTTTCAATACAACACTTCTTCCCAATGAGGAACTTCTGCCGGAGTGCTCAGAGATTTGACCATGTACTCTCCTTACCCTCTGTGACCTTTCGAAACACTACCGTACTCGGAGAAAGAGGTCAGCATAGTTTTGCTGGAAGTACAAAGTACGCAGTGTACTGGTAGTGCCAAGAGAGTGTTTAGAAAGGTTGGTAACGTCATTGACATAGTCTTCCAGAATCCCATAAATTGTCAGACATATACATGAATATTGCTTAATCGACCTTACGTGAAGCCACTAAGGTCTTGCTAAGTCAACAGCCCAACGAGTAGGACAAATAAGTACCCACTTGGGTCACTGCATGACGATGGATAGTGGCATGCCCTGGGCTTCTCGCGTTCGTCGCCCCCGCCTTTATTGAACGACATTCACCTAGAGGTACCTTTTAAGGTGCGGCGATCTGCACCGAAATGGCACATGTGAGCGGAAAAATGCTGCAAGTTGGAGTGTCGTCGATCATGCTCAAATAATCGTGTTTGTGCGAAAAATCCTCGGAGAATCCAGGGCATCAAGATTTAGTAGCGAGGCAAGGGTGAAACACACACTCTAAGTTCAGCATCGTAATTTCACGTCTGGGCCGTGCGTGAGGGCGGATCGGGCGAACCTGTGAGCAAGGTGGAAGACGAACGTCCCCAGAGACGTCCGCCCACAACAGGACACTTCACCTGGTGCGAGGGAATGAGGAGTCCTGCCGTGGCCTCGGTTCACTAACAAAAGGTGAGAAGTAACAAATGTGCGAGGTGGGGCCGAGGATGGTGCGCGCGGGGAGTTGATCCTTTTTCCAATTCATGATTCATGAATCATCACAATACAGACAAATTCCGGCTGCCCTTCCCGCACAGGACCGTTGCGATGGTCAGCCAAATGAGCACCTGTCTTCCGCCCTCAATTGGTCAAACTCCCTGCAGCCATCCTTCGACTTCAACCTTATCTTCAATGGATCTCGAGGATGAGCAAAGTCAACGATTCAAGATGCGGGATGCGGCTGACACCTTGTTAATGATAATAACCCAGCTTCTCCTTTCTACTTGGAGGCTAGTCTCTAAATCGGGAATGTCGACTGCAGTTCAAACAGTAATATCGTCTCCCGTAAATACTTCCATCACTAGGGTGTTTTTCTTTTCCACCTCTTCGGTGGCACGCAAGTGATCTGACACCATCGATCTGGAGGAAATAAAAGAGCGCTCCAACTAACTAGCGCTAAAACATCTGCAAAAATCCTGCTGTGCCTCGGAATGATGCTAGAGCATGGTGTTAAAGAGCACGCGGAGCAATTGGCAGGAGCATGACATTTCCTTTGCTCACATCTGTCCCTGTTCGCTTTTAGGCTGATCCAAATATAGTGATGGAATGCAAAAGGTAGTGTGACACGATTGGGGATAATGAAGAGCAGATTGCGGTGACGTTTCACTTCGACTGAGCGCCGTTTCCATTGCCGATGCTGATTGACTTTTTGCGTGGTTGCAAGCATTTCCAGACATTCGGTGCAATTGTGGGTCTAGATCTGACCGACTGCACTGTAGAGCTGCTCATGTGCCACTCCGTCCTTCGTAGGAAGAATCCTTCCCCCACTCATGGCTATGGCTGCTTCTCAAGACCTTCCACTTCCAGGTCATGTTTGTAAGGAATAATGGACTCCAGCACCCTTCGGCCAACTTGATGGATGGCGTGAACGTCTTAGTTAGCTTTGATATCGGGAGATTTTATACAAGTAAAAATATGATTGCGATGTTGCATACATATTGTAATGTGATGTGGCCCTTTTTTTTTTTTTTTTTTTTTTTATCATTTTCATGTGACATAGATATATATATATATATATATATATATATATTTTACAAGATCTAATTAAAATATCTAATTCTGGTATTTTTGAAAGGCTTAGTTATATGTTTACAAATTCACAAAATTTGGGTAACTATAAATAGGATGGACCAATTCTAGTTACAACTGTATGTGTTTTTTTTTTTTTTTTTTTTTTTTTTAATAAAAAGACAAAGCCTTATAATGCAATAGTATTGATAAGAGATGCAAAATTGTCTTGGTTGCATTTTAAGCTACATTTTAAGAAAAAACAATGTAAAATTGTATTAGCACAGAATCAAATTAGTTAAAACTAAAGAATATAAAATGACAAATCTAGACTAGTAGGCTAAAAGACTTAGTTAAGGATTAAATAGGCATTAATGCTTCTATATTATTTCATACATTTTTTATTATAATATGCTTCTATAATTGTAATTAAAATAACTTAAAATTTTCTTTATATTTCATAACTGATGAGATATTAAGCACATGTATTACAATGTCTACTTAAAACTATATGTTAGTTCATCTAAACCAGAAGACTTCTAATAAAATATTAAAAAATATATTTAAGAAAAAAATATATATATATATATATATATATATATGTATATCTTTCCTTCTATTACTGATACAATTTAAGGATTCTATTTATGAAATGGCCTCACAAAAACTCATACAAAGATACAAAATAATTATTCAATTCTTTTAGTATTATTGAGATAACATCATTACAAATTATTTGAAAATGATGAATCTTATAATGATTTAAGGTTTTTATTTTTATTTTTATTTTTAATATAAATTATCTCATTGCAAATACAAGACTAAAGACCTAATCTTACAAAATAAAGATCCATGCTCTTTTAGATTATTTTTATAAAATTTATCAAAAAATTCTTTAATTAAGTCTTTAACTTATAAAAATAATTCTTAATTTTTAAAGTTTGCATGTAAATAAAGATTACCTTGCACAACAGGTTGAGTGCTAGAAATCAATTATGGAATTTGCAATCTAAATTAAATATAAATGTATAAGCAACATACTTTCAATTGTCTCTTTTAGCTAATTAAGAGCCTTTTCACGTATCTAATACAACAACCCGCATACAATTGAAGATGAATGTTATACTGTTATTGGTACAAAAATATACACATCTAAGTTGATGTAGTAGCTAGGCTATTAAAATGTAGAAAAAATATTAAAGAATGAATCTTCAAACCTTGTCCACAAATGAAGTTGTGAAGGACAAGAATTCAAAAGAAGATATATAAACAAATGAATTAAGTATTAAAGAGAGATAATAAAATAGAAATAAGAAAGTATACATATTTAATAAGAAACTAGAATGCTTATTGCTAAAGATTACAAAGCTAGAGACACTTGAAATTAGACTAAAAATATATTTTTTTTTCAAAAATGAAAAAGGCTTTATTCTTGCTTTTATATATACTATCTATTTAAAAAGCTATGTGGCGACATTCTATAGGACCTCCAATATGTATTTAATTTGCAAGACATGTGTTTAATTTACAAGACAAGTTTCTTATATGTATATCACATAATTAGCTTGTTCTACAAGCTATTTGCAAGTGCAATACTTGTTTAACTTGTTGGCTAAGTTTCTAATCTATTAATCATCTATAGACATGTATAAAGGTGAAAACATGTCTATAAAGCTTCTAAAAAGTTGGTTTAGAAGATATTATTAAATTAATCTAATTTTGTTTACTTATATTTATTTATATTACCTAAATAATTATTAGAATAAATATGTCTATGATAATATTCTTCCTTTTAGAGATGAGTGCCATGAAGTACAACAATCATATGTTGATGAAGTCCAAGATGAGGCAAATTATATTTGCTACATATTCTAATTGTTGTTTCTTTTGAAGGTATCATGGATATATATAGGTACTCTAGTAAATACCTATATGATTAAGTAGAAGTAGATAAAAGTAGATAAAAGTAGATTAATTTCATAATACCTTTTAGAGAAGCTTTATAGAAGCTATAATGATGCTATTTTGACTTTACATGTGTTTGTAGTTGATTTGTAGGTTAGAAACTTGATCAACAAGTTAACCATGTATTGGTAGCTTGTAGAACAAGCTAACTATGTGGCGTACATATAGAAAACTTGCCTTGTAAGTTAAGATATGTATTTTGCAAAGTCAACACATTTTGGAGGTCCTATAGGACATTGCCATATAGCTCCTAATTAAGAATATATATGGAAGGGAGAGTGAAGCCTTTTTCACTCTTCTCAATGCCTTTCTAGTCATTAGTCTTGTTTTTAGACTTTCTTACTCTTCTTGTTTTTGGCAATAGCCATTCTAATTCAATAATATATCATCTTTGAGTGACTTTCTAGTTCTTTTTAGTGTTACAAGAGTGTATTGAGGATTTCTTTCTTTGAGATTCATGTCATTGATAATTTGACAAGAATGCTAATTTATTGTTTTATCTTGTTTTAGAAGTGAGTGGATTATTTTACTTCTATTATTATATTTTGAAGGTTGCAGACTATCCACCTTTAAACAAATAA